ATTCGCCGGGCCGAAGAGGAGTAGAACCATCAGATTTGTGTGTAGATTGCTTGCAAATTGGATGAACTAGATGTCTTTTATTATGGTGGTGATGGTGGTGCCAAAATTCCATTGTGGGGTTGTTGAATTGAGTGGGTTCCTTGGCACCAAGATTCACGGACTGAGCACTGATGTTCAATGCGAGACTCTCAGTCAGCACAGATCCATCACAATGACACAGTTCCTGACATAGCGTCATATCATGGCACACTGTCTCTATATAAGGGGATAATTCCCCTGGGAGGATTAGAGAGGACAATTTTTCTGTTCCAACAAAAACAAGAAAGGGACATTCTGAGGCACCCTAACCCACTATCTTGATCCTTCATTTGTGTGGCCACTCTGGAATCGTGACTCCAATTCAAGCTTCGTTTCATACCTCAATCTGTTCAATACCATTTGGTTGATCTAAGCTTACTTGAGCATGTAACTGTTGGCTGCCCAACAGGGGTCGATTCCGCTGTTGGGTCCACACGTCTAAGCCTCGAAGTGAGTGCGCTCAAACTTTGCAAGGGAATGATGAAGCGAATCTATGCCTTGGCGTGATTGGGAGAGTTGATCAGATATGCGGCTAGCTTTATTGGGGTTTTCGTAAATCCGGGCGAGCAAGTCGAAGATCAGAGAGGCTTGAGTTGGGCATTCGAAGTAAGCGGAAGTACTAGGGCTTGGATCTTCAAGTCGAGATTGCTACTGTAATTACCTACCACAACCTCACGCTCCCCGGGTTAGATTCAAAAAGATGCCAGGTAAGTCACACACGGAAATAGCTCACAGGAGCCGGCGGGATTGCGTCGGATGCCGCAACCCTCCCCACGAAGTGGATCTTTTGAGCCGAGACCGGCCCCGATAACTCCGGGAATATCGAGGTCAGGTTTTTCTGTGCCTCCATTGCGCCGCCAACCTGCCCAACATTTGACGCGAGGGTGTATGTATTCATGGGCTTCAGCTGGTACCTCATACACCGCACCTTTCCATTTCTCTCCGTTTCAATTTCCAGTCCAGTCCTGATCCTTTACCCCTTTTTCCACCCCATCCACCGATCCGCTCATCCCTACTGACACCTTAGAACACGACATCATCGGGGGCATCCAGCAACGCACGCAACCATGCCACACCCACCATCAACCAGGCTCACCCGCCTAGCGCGAACCGCCCTGCTCGAATCCGGCCTCCCCTCCGTCTCGGCCACGGGCCGCGACGCCGTCCTCGTCATACTCGCCCGCACATGCCGCATGTTCGCCTACGGCGCCTCCTCGCTCGTGCTCGCCCTCTTCTTCGCTTCTCTAGGCTTTTCGGACTATCACATCGGCCTGTTCATGACACTGACCTTACTGGGCGACGTCCTCCTAGGTCTGGGGCTGACCCTCGTGGCGGACGCGATCGGGCGGCGGAGAACGTTGGTGGCCGGGTCGGCGCTGATGGTCGTGAGCGGCGTGGTGTTTGCCACGTGTGAGAGTTTCTGGGTGCTGCTTGCGGCGGCAGTGGTCGGCGTCATTAGCGCGACGGGGGCGGATTTTGGGCCGTTTCGGGCCGTGGAAGAGTCGATTGTTTCCGAGTTGACGACGCACGAACAGAGGGCGGACGTGCTGGTTTGGTATGTCACGCTGGCGAGCCTGGGCAGTGCGGCGGGGACTGAGATGAGCGGGAGGATTGTGGAGGCGTTGAGAGCGAGGGAGGGGTGGCGGTTGGTGGATGCCTATCATGGGTGTTTCTGGCTGTATGCCGTTATGGGGGTTGTGAATATGGCGTGTGCGCTGATGCTGTCTGAGAGATGTGAGTTGAGGGGCGGGAAGAGGAAGGGACGCGAGAGGGAGACGGAACCGTTGCTGAATGATGAGCAGCAATCGGATGAGGGAACGGGCCGGAACGGGGCCGAGGTGAAGAAGACCCGGACAGGCTGGGTGTCGCAGATCTCTCGCGAGACGCTGTCCATTATGGCCGTCCTCTGGTTCCTTCTCATGGTCGACTCCCTCGCTGACGGCATGACTCCCATGACTTTGACCTCTTACTACGTCGATCAGAAGTTCCACCTCCCCAAGTCTGCGCTCGGCGACATCGTGTCGGCGAGCTACTTCCTGTCATCGCTCTCCAACATCTTCGCCGGACCCTTGGCCCGGCACATCGGGCTCGTCAACACCATGGTCTTCACGCACACGCCCTCCTCGGCCGCCGTCTTGCTGTTTCCCTTCGCCCAGACGGTCCCACTCACCTTCGCGCTGCTCCTCCTGCGCATGGGGCTCAACAACATGGACCAGGCACCCCGCTCAGCACTGATTGCGGCCGTGGTGAGGCCCGAGGAGCGCACAGCGGTCATGGGCATCACTAGCATGCTGCGGACACTCGCCTCGACGACAGGCCCGAGCATCACGGGTCTCTTGGCCGGCAACAACAGGTTTCGGGTGGCGTTTGTGGTGGCGGGGGCACTGAGGCTGGCCTACGACGTCGGTCTCTTTGCCATGTTTATCAACATCAAACTGCACCAGTATGAGACGGCTGAAGATGAGGCTGTGGAGCGTGCAGAGGACCAACCTCATGAGTCAACTTCGTCCCAAGCGGAAGCCTGACTGGTGGTCGAGAAGACATACGAGCTGTAAGCCCTATAAACTGTACATGGGAGTTTGGATACATGGACACGCAAGACAACTCGCTACGGGCATGACGGTCAGCCCGTTAAGTGCAATGAGACCGGAATATGCGGCAAACACAGATGTGGTTCTGTGTGGTATATGTGATGCAGATATCTCATGTGATCAGTATCATAATAAACTTCGCGACTTTCTTCAACTCTGCGTCTCCGAGCCACCTTACGTTGCAGTTCTTTTGGCCTCGGCTGACAACCATGGGGACTGGAGACGAGAGTGGCTGGACCGCCACGCAAGTCGACAATCAGTGCCGCGATGATTCAGTGAACTTCCCAAGGCTCTCAGGCCCGTGTAGCAGCTCGGCTGAATGATACCACCACGATCAATGAGCCTCTTAAAAGCCCTATCCTACCCCAATGACGCTTTTCTCGCCAACCACTCATGTTGATCCGGAGACACAATCGCCGTCCACTGGTAAGCTAGCCTTGCGGGCTGGACCTTCGGGAACGTTCAAGAGAAGGGAAACATTGGCCGGGGCCAGCGGGTAGTGTCGGTAACGGAAGACCGAAAGCAAGTAGCAGCCGAGCTTGAACATAAAGATCATCTGGATCTCGTGGGCTTCAGGGCTCTGTCACCGAGCCTTACATGTGCCTAACTACTACCTAGGTACTCGAATGCCTGTTGCCCCATCCCTTGCCTTCGTCTTCTCTTCTGTCCGTTGCCCGTATATATCTCCCTCATGGTAATCCATGGACACCACAAGCTCGCCGCTCACGTGTAGTGCGCAGGACTCCCCATGTTTCGTGCGTATGAATACGTCTAGTTATGTACCTTTTAATACTAGTTAATAAAGTGGCGCATTTTATAAATGTTAAAAATACGTTTTCAATACACCGTATTATTTGCATTTGCAGTGCAATGTTTCATTAATAGGACGAATAGCTCAGGGGTAGAGCAACCGGCTGCAGTCCGGTAGGTCACGCGTTCAAATCGCGTTTCGTCCTTATCTTTTGTCCCCGGTTATCCTCCGCCCCTTTTTCCGTTCCATTTACGTTAGTTATTCCCTTTTTAGCCTATATATCCTGGAAAAAGATTTGTAGTACCTTGAAATCAGGTCTCATTCAAGCATCGTTAAGTTACCACTATGACAAGAACAGCTCTGATTCTCTGCAGAAGGAACTTCCCTCAAGAGACCACTTTCCAATGTAGACTTTTTAATCAGGTATAATTGCCTTCCTACTATGGGAGAGCGTATCGTCTACAACCCCGTCTTCGACTCAGATACAGCTTCAGCAGTTGTTAGCGAGCATCATTTTCAGTTTCTGCTCTTGCCGCCGCCTGCGCAGTTGAGGATTTGGACCGTGACGATGTATTCCTGCGATAGAGTGGCGACTCACACGGAGGGTACCTAGGCGGAGTTGCACTTCAAAAGGGTAGCTAGCGTGCTTTATCGATTCATCTCTGTTGATGCGAGAGTGGTTGGCAATCTCCATGGTTGCAAAATTCGATGTTCTTACCCGTGGTTGTGAAACTTCCAGGTTCTTGGCCACGATGATCTTGGGGTTAGTAAGATCCAGCACCCACGGGACACGTCGGACGCGGTGCTGTACGAGCCTTCCCAGGACGTCCTCTTTAGTGTGTAGGCTTCTCAGCTTGGCCCCATACAGCGGGAGTAGCTCAAATGTTTTCGTTCTCCGAGTGGTTCCAAGCTGGAGCAGGCTCAACCAGCTGAAACGAGGCGTGGACAGGTGACTTGTTTGGCATGCCCTTGTTGCTGGATCAAGTTCCGTGTCGGGGAGTGCATATTCGTCTCTTCCCTTCGGCCTCGATGACTCTCGAGTAGGCTCGAATCCGAACATACTGCTCACTGAGTAAAGGACTGATGCTGCGTTCAGGGGCTTGGCTGCTTATGATTGTGGTTACAGTGGGATGGGCGATGAGGAAGAGTAATGGTGCCTGGGAGACGCAATCAGTATTGACCATATTTGGGTGGCGGCGAGGGTCATGAAGTGGAAGTAACTGGATAGAATTGAAGCTGTGTAGAAGTCTGAAGATTAAAGGAAATATGGGCGATAAAGCCCAGGTAAATACGCTGATACGCGGACGAAGGCTTGTACAGTCGTATCGGGGGTTTGAGCCTCAGATCCCCCTACCTAGGTGACCCCCTAATTCTGCCCCGATGGTCTTAGACTCTCAGTGTCCAACCCTGACAAGTGCAGCCAGGAAAATGAGCGGTTTGGTTCCCTCAGGACATAGGTAGGTATCGAATCATCAACCGCCTGGCGGAAAAGGAGTTGACATTCCACCTACTTCACTACTCTTTCTGCTCTTTCCATTGTACCTCTTCTACCCCTTGTGGGATGAGACCTTCCATAACTCCTTGAAAACCTGTCATGTCCCTCTTGGGATCGTGGGCTTGGACTTGCAAGAGAAGCTGGCAACACTTAAGAATGTACTCAATCCACAAGCCACCAAGAACACCCCCTGGTAGTCAAGCAGGACCTTCAGAGCATGGATAGCTGAGCCAATAACAATCCCCCACACCATGCAGAAAATCTCAAACGACGTCCAATAGCTCTTGGTGCGCAGGGGACTCGGAAGTCGGATCTTTACACCGACATGGTGCCATTCTAGATCCCCCGGATAACCACGCCCGTATGGCATGGATGGAAACGGGTCCGCATGCATCACTAGTCGATAGCATCGGATATTTTTTTGGGCCGAAAACGTTTTCGCAAAACTTCCGTCTCCGACCCTGGGCGACCCCAGGGTAACGCAGGTGACACCCGCATTTGGCCAATGGCCACACCGTCGTGCATCAGAGAGCGCAGAGTTTTGCCAGTGCTCCACCCAGTCCGTGACCACATACTTCGACTTTATCCGGTACGATGAGCTTCCTCATGGTTTCGCTGGGCTCAGGCTGATTTACCAGGGTGCGGCGGATATGAGCGTCCAGCGAGCCGCGGAGGTTGTCGAAAATGTCCAGGAAGCGTTCGTGCACCCACGCATCTTCCGAACCAGGAGCCTGAGGCCATTGAATGGGGTGTAGACCGGAACGGAGTATCGTAGTGATATAGCTCCAAAGCCCATACAGTGCCCAGGGCGTAGAATGAGATCCTCGTAGAGCCATGGCGAATCGTAGCCACAAAGACAACGACTAGGGTAGTCTTATCACGGATGCCCAAATGAATCTGAGGAGTCTGGGTTATGGACGAGGGGGCCATCGCATCGAGCTTTGAAGGTCGCGGCAGGTCTGGTGTTCGCCGTCGAAAGTACGCGCCGCCTGCGTCTCCAGGCTCATTGGCGAAGGCCGCGTACTGGGCGAGATGGCGGATCGACGGTAACAATTTCAAGTCATAGTCCATTGGATTTCTAAGCATTGAATTGACTGCCATGTTCTGCTCGTTGTTGATTCGAAGGCTTTCAACAGAGAAAGATTGGAGTCGTATCAGCGCAAGGTAAGGGAAGGGGAACCTTTCAGGTAAAAAGCACATCAAGGTCCAGTTTCACAAGCGACCTTCGTTCAGTTACTCTCCTAGCCCAAATCGTAAATAATCATAACTCTAATCTCATCAATATCACATGTCCTTTGCCTTATCAATCCGAAGCCGCCTAGATTGCAAGAGTGTAGCCACAATGATATCATCATCAAATGTCAATGACCGGACAATGACATGTCCTTGGAAGTTTACTGTCCACGTATTATGGAGTCGTGGAAGTCCGAGGGCCTCAATAGTCGAGGTCCTATATTGCGAACTCCATTTTGGTGAACGGTTCAACTTTTGGCATGTACGTTTCCCACGTATGTTAAGCACAGTCGCTTCTTCCTTTCATCCTTCTTCCCCGGGTAGTATGGATAGCTCCCTCAACAGCGAACCGCGAAATTATCATAAGAAGCTTTTATATCGTCCTCCTTTCTAATATTAATTCACTACAAGTATACTGCTTCCATCATCCTTACGCAGATAGTGTCAGTTAAGTTGTGACTCTAATTATCGTAGCTAGAGGACGAATCTCTAACTCTTTTTTTTTTGTCCCTTGTGTTCACTTGGGAGTTTTGAATGACGTGTTACCAGATCCCTAATATACGCAGCCTACAGCACTGCTAACGATTGGATACCAATATCATTACTATCACCTCCTTATACGAACCTACCCGTTCAACTCGAAAGACGAATTCTCTACGGGTCTTCGGTTCTGCCAGCACGCCGTTCAACAAGAAATCAGGAGGTTTATCAGTCCATTTGGGCCCTAGGTACCTCGGTAAACAACTAGCTCCTCAAAACTTATCTCCATCCGCATTTACCTTAGCTAACAGGATGTTCACCCAAGTTGGATCTCTCTCGGCCAACATGGCCGTGCCCAACGTTATCATGACGTACTGGCATCTGGTTAGATATGCCGAGCGGGCATATGAAGACGGCAATGGTTGCAATTTTCGACGTTACCTCTCAGAGAACGAGCTACAAGGACCGCTCAATGCCCGCAAGGTGCAATCCGACAGGTTCTGGTCGCATAATCATGCTCACCTTGGCGTCGGTTGAAGCGACAACTTGGTCATAGCCTTCCGAGGAACCGATGTTCCCAGCACCTTCCAGAACTTTCAGGAAACCGAACGATGGCTCGGAGCTTGGATCAATGCCTGGACGGACATCCGCTACAATCTCGTGCATCCCTCCTGGATTCCGAATCCAAACGTCCTTGTTCACGAAGCCTTCTTGAGTGACTTCGAAGGACTTATGGGAGGCCTGAGGCAGAGCATCCAGGTTCTTATGGCCCTTCTTATGATGGGCCACAGGATTCACAGCATTGAAACCTGGGGCCACAGCCTCGGGGGGGCGTTAGCAACGTTGTGTGCATTGTGGTGCAGCTTGGAGTACCCAGGTTTGTCCATCACCTGTCTCACCTTGGGATCACCAATAGTTGGCAATCAGCACTTCGCCGGACGGTTCAGGCCTCCTCCCTGGCCTCCCATCACCTGCTTTCGACTGTTCATACCGGCCGACCCAGCCCCCGCTCTCCCGAATCAATATACCCAGGCTGTCGCTTTCCGTCAGAGCTATCCCGGCCCTCAGAAATGGGAGCATGTGGGACCGCCATTTGCTGTGAAACTGGCCGATCGCATCCCCACCGTCCCTGTGGCGACGGTCGCTAGTTTGGCTTTGGCGAACAGGAACGTGGGCGGCACATCATCAATGGAACTATGGTATGGGAGTTCAACTCATGCTAGGGTTGTAAATGTAAATGCAGAGCAAGAGATTGAGTTGTTGAGGGTTCCTGGAAGACTGGAAGTTGGAAATCGTAATTATGTACATGTACTGTACATGTATATCAGCAGCAATGTAATATTCCGTGGTTACCAAGTCATGCGAACCATGCCCCACCAACAAGGCACAGCTCCTGCTGCCTTTTCCTCCACCACATCACATACCACAATACCTATCTCTTTGTTTTGTGTGCCTGCATCACACACGCGGACATTCGGTAGCAATTGTTCCAGTTAGAATCAGCAGCGGCACAACAGGCTCCAACGGGCATGTGAAGCCTGGAAGGTGTGCGGATCATGGTCATGGGTATCGCCGAAACGCCCACCCAGACCCACCGTCACAGGCTCATCGCAGCTTCCAATTGCACGTGCCTTCCAGGTTTGGATTCGGCCACCCGGCCCAACCGCTACGGAAACCAGGAAGCCACAGTTGCAACACGCCGATTCAGTTGTCCAATATTACTTCTGCCAAGACCTAAATGTCTGGGCATCCCTGAAGCATCTGGGACAACGACCCGGTCCAAGTACAGCGCGGCGAGCGCGTCAGTTTCAAAACCATTTCTTCCTCTGCCTTCCAGCACAACGCTCAGGTCGCCGCCCGCCGTTTCAATTAGGTTCCAGGTCTGCCGAAAGTCCCAGTCTCTCAGATCGACATGGAACCAGGGTCAAGTACTTTGTTGACTCTCCTCATAACTTTGAGCTGGTTTCATCTCGCCGAATCTTTGGGCACCGGTTTAGGACTCTCCCCTCACATGGGATGGAGCAGCTGGGTGCTTATCTTTCCCACCGCCTTTAATGACTCGCAGCAGGACCTGTGACTGAACTTCAAGTATAGAATGTTAAACAATGCGACTCGGCATCGGCCAAATATGCCCTGGACGCGGCAGACAAGTTCATCTCGCTTGGACTCAAAGATCTCGGGTATGAGTGTACGTGGATGCCATCCTCACGTCCTCACATCCTCACCATTGGGTCTTGGGCTGCAAGCCACAGCCAGTTGACGGAATTACATAGACATCAATATTGACGACTGCTGGTCTACGAAAGAGCGGGATGGAAGCGGAAAACTGGTGCCCGATCCCGTCAAATGGCCCAACGGCATCAAGGCCGTCGCTGATCGGATTCACGACATGGGTCTCAAGTTCGGCCTCTATGGTTGCGCAGGCCAGATGACCTGTGCCGAATTCCCGGGGAGCGAGGGGTATGCAGTGTCAGATGTCGACCAGTTGGTTGGCTGGGGTGTTGATTTTTGGTACGTTTGCTGCATTTCTGTCCTCTCTCTGACAGCCCCTTCTCCTTTTCTCTCTAAGTCCCGTTATATGTCTTTCCTTTTATACTTCTTCCTCAACCTCTTCTTGCTTCTTTCTTGCCACGGTCTTTTTCTTGTACTTTGATTCATTTTCTCTTTTCTCTGTCTCCTCGTTTTGGTATGTACCTTGGGGTCGTGGCTGAACAGAGTGTTCTTGTTCCCAGGAAGTTCGACAACTGCTATACTCCCTGCAAGGTGAACCCTCGGCCCCAAACCTGCCCCGACCCGGCCGGAAACACCAAGACCTGGTACGCGCCGATGCGAGATGCAATTCTTGCTGCGCGGGCTCGTACCGCAAGCCAGATTCACTTCAACCTATGCAACTGGGGGCGAGACGAGGTCTACAAATGGGGCGCCCAGTACGGTGCCCAATCCTGGAGGTAAGCAGCCTCCATACCTACCTTATCTCTCACCCCTTTTGCTCCCCAATGTGGGAGCCACTCACTCACCCAACACAAACCCAGAATAAGCGAAGACAACTACGGTGACTGGGCCAGCATCGAGCGCATCGCCAGTACCGCGGCAGACATCACGCAGTACAGCGGACCAGGCGGCTTCAACGATCTCGACATGCTGTACCTGGGCTCGCCCAAGCTCAACACGCGCCAGGAGCGCCTCCATTTTGGCCTTTGGGCCATCCTCAAGTCGCCGCTGGTGCTGGGGCTCGACCTTAGCAACATCTCTGCGTCGACGCTGGAGATCGTCACGAATAGGGGAATCATCGAGATTAACCAGGACCCCCTCGGCAAGCCGGCTAACACTTTTCGTCCGCCGGGCGGCCCGGAGCCTGTGAAAGGGAAGATATACCCGTACTGGGTGGGCGAGCTCAAGGATGGGGTGGTTATCGGTCTCTGCGCGGGCACTGCTGCCGGGAGGTATAGTCTTGAGTTTAGGGATGTTCCGGGGTTGGGAAGGGGTTGGTATGAGTGGACAGAGATGTATACTGCCCAAACGGGCTGGGGTTCGGGCGTGTCGCTCGATATTGGCTTGCATGATATGCGGGTTGTCAAGGTGAGTACTCCAAGCGCGCCTGAGGGCCATGTTGGACTTTAAGGCAGTAGGTAATTATTATCAAAGTCAGGGTGGTGTTTACTGCCATGCCTGTTCAAGTGATTAGACTCTTTCAGTTACTGTTGGCGATCCCAAAATGGATTTTAGGTACCCGCTAGGGATGCTTGGTCTTGTAGCGGTATATGTATCTACCAAAATAGGACAGCCCTCTTGTATGAACTCCCCCGGGTAGTAGAGTTTACTTGAGCTCATTGCCGCTTTGCATCCCCTTGTTCCAGGTCGGCAGCTTCATCTTCAGCACGAGCAACATTCCGTCGAGACTGTCGGGCCCAGCAGGCAAGAGGGATTACTAAGGTGCCATAACTGACTATGGCCGGGAACGAAGGACAACAACCGAAAATAACAAAGAAAAAGCAAGAGAAACCTATTGCCTCCCATCTGAAGGTGTGTGACTGCCTGTCGTATAGGCCGAAGCATCTTTAAATACAGGGCTCCCGACATGAGGTGAAATTTGGATGCCTACACCAAAGCCAGTCCGGGATTCCGCAGTTGGATACATCTCTAGTATGCCAGTCCGACTTACCAAGCCCAGGTAGGTACTGAGATGGCATGCCTCACAGCTGCATCCTATCAGACGCAGAAGGGCATACCGTCAGTAATCCTGCAATCACCGGCGCAATTCGCACCAGTTTACCACCTTCCATTGTTGCACACTATGATGGAGTCGGATTCTTGCCAATCAGACTGCAATTGTAGCTGCCTACGCAAGAGTAAAGACCTCGTGCGTGATAAGGGAGAATAGCCGTGATTCTTACGTGCAGGTTCTCGCTTGAAGGAACTTGCTAGAGGGAAACGGAGAACAAAACCTCGCGAGCGAGGGGGTGACTACCTAGAGGTAAGGTAGTTTGCTGTGTAGTTGAAGTATTCTCAATCCATTAGTACAGCACCATGATGCTAGCAATCCTAAGGCAACTGGTAACTATACCATTGAGGTTGGCCTGCCCGCATCCCTCAACCCTCGCACTCGCCTTCCTCGACTTGGCCGTCCGAGCAGATTTTGAACGAAGCTGAAGGTTGAATCGCAGGTTCAGGCAATGATACCGCTTGTCCTTGCCAGTGTTACCTGGAAGAACCTCGCAGGAGCGTAAGCATAGCATCAATATATGCTGTGCTGCACGTCTCGGGCGCTGGGGATGGTAGTCACGCTATTTCCTGGCCAAAACTGAGGACTTGAAAGATGGGGTCGCTATGGAACGCGACTACCAATATGACGATGAAAGTCGATATGTGGTTACTGCCGTGGTGGCAGAGCAACACTCGTTCATCAACTTTCCTGCGCCGACGCAATCGAATATTGAGAAGAGTTCAATGTTTGTGGCCGAGATGCAAGCGGTTTGGAAGACCAAGCTGCCAAGTCTTCATGCTATGGTACAAATTCTGGCCCACAAATCACACCCTTGCCTAGCCCACTCTATTTTGGCACCCACTCCTCCTCTCCGTCATCGCCTCAGGACCTCATTTTCGTTCCCACTTGGACCGCAGCGCTGCAGTGCAGCAACCATCTCATCCACCACCACTTCCACAACCAAACACCAGCCCATCCACAAACATCCAATCTCGTTACAGCGGTGAAGGACTACGCAGACGAAAAGTAAAATTTGGCCGACCAAAATGCCGCGCCTCCTCCGCCCGCTCCTCCGACTGACCCTCGGCCGTCCCTCCCGCACCCTCACCACCACCGCCCGCCAGTCCTCCTCCTTCCTCGACTCCTCCCCAGCCCCGCCCCGCCTCCCCGCCGACCAACAAGCTGAGTTCGAGCGCCTCCAGCGCGCTGCCGAAGCCGCACTGTCCACGCACACCTCCATCCCCAACATCCCGCCACCGCCGCCGCTCGCGACCTCGCGGCACGTCACGACCCCTTCCTCTAGCTCTACCCCCAACACCACCAACACGACAACGACAACGACAACACAGTCAAGTTTTACCGAGACAGGGGCGGCAGCAGCATCACAGCTAAGCATCAGCGCAGGCTCCCTAAGCGCCGGCATCCGCCAGGGCGCGCCGCCCGAGTTCGAAGGCGACAGGAATCCTAAGACGGGCGAGATCGGCGGGCCCAAGAACGAGCCCCTGCGGTGGGGCAGCGCGGGGGACTGGAGTTATAATGGGCGGGCTACTGATTTTTGAAAGAGAGAGTCGAACACCGCTTTCTACCGATTGAACCCACGACGCCGTCCCGGTCTTGGTTGATTTAGGGACGCCTGAAAGTTAGGGGAAGAGAAGCGGTAATTACTTCGGTTGTTTTTTTTATTTTTTTATTTTTGTTTTTGTTCTTTTTTGCCGGGGGAGGGCGGGTGTGGGGGGTGTCTCTAGCCCGGCGCGCGTTAAGAGTGAGGGCTCTTGTTGGAGTGGTGGTTGGTTAGATCTTGGTAGCGATTGTACAACACCAACTTGACGGGCTGTCTTGGCTAAATGCAAAGCATAGCCCGGGGATGGGTCGCGCGCTGAGAGAGGGATCATATCTGCCGTTCAGCAAGAGGTGCTGGACGCAAGGATGTTGGGAGAGAAGCTCCGGGAGTGGTACGGTACAAGTACAAGTACCAGCTATATGGCTTATAAGCAACACTGTACATCAATCAACCACTGAAGACAGTCGACCAGATTTGACATGTCCATGTAACAATCTGAAGGCAGAGAAAGCAACGCTGGGCCATGACGGCAACACTCCATCTTTCCGTCCTTGGCTCCCGTTCACCAACAGATCTGCGCTGCAACGCCGCCATTGAACCCCACTTAGCCCAAACAAAATCCACATGGTATCAAGCAACAGGCATATACACCAACAATGTAAGCTCGACATCTCCAATATCCTCCGCAGCTTGGCTAGGCCCACGACAATGCCAGAGACTTTCTCATGCCTCGGCGGGCTTCTCCTTCTGAGCAAGCTCAGGTTCCTCCCGAGCAGCAGACTCCACTGCCTCCTGAACCGTCTGTTCCTCCTGCGTCAGGACGTCTTTGGACGCCTCCGCCAAGCCATCCCGAGCCGGATTTTCCTCAGACTCTTTCTGCGCGGCAGAGGCACTCCTCTCCTCAGCAGCAGGTTCCGCTGCCGCATCTGCCTGCCCCTCTCCCATCCCAGCACCACCCTGCTGATCCCCCTCCAAAGTACCTTTCACTAGATTTCCCTCCTCCTTGTCCCGACTCTCCTCCATCCCGACCCGCTTCTCTCGACTCTCCTCCCGATTCGCATTCTCCTTATCCCCCTCACTCGGCGACCCACTAACACTCTTCTTCCACCACCCAAGCCCTCCCTCCCCTGCTCCATTCTCGCCAGCGCCGCCAGCGCCGCCATTCCCATTCAACGACATCCGGCTAAGCCACGCAGGCGTGCGCGCCACCTCGGCCAGCGCCTTGCGGATCCTCTCCCGCCGCGCCTTGCCGCGCAGCCTGTTCTGCGCCGCGGCCCCGTTGGTGAGCCAGCGCAGCCCAATCACCATGAAGCTGAGCCCGTCGTGGACGGAACGCTGCTGGAATTCCTCGCTGCCGACCGGCCCGCCAAACTCACGGGACCTGATGCCGAAGCGCGTCGTCGAGGCGTACTTTTCCAGGCGCGGGAGGATCAGGAGCGTGACGTGCAGGTCACGGTTTTCGGGAACCGGCATGGGCCCGTTCCTGGGCGGCTCCGACAGGATGGTCACTTGGGTGGTTTCGTGGTAGGACGGCAGCTTGGTTTGTTTGGAGCCGTTGCCTTGGGTGGTGCTGAACAGGCCCCGTACGTCGGATACGCTGTACCCCTCGTCGAGTCCGAGCAGGCTCACGTCCACGTCGTCGGGCCACTCGCCCTTGAACCAGCCGGCGTGGATGCATGCCGCAATCACGTCCGAGTCGTCCGTGTAGATGTCTGTACCCCAGAGCGCCCGCCGGGCCGTGATTTCCTCGCGCGCGGAGGACGTCAGATGCTCCTTGCCAATCTTCATGGTCAGCGTACAGTTCTCTTTGCCTTCGATCAGATGCCACGGCAAAGGTTTCGGGGTCGACTTGTAACCGCTACGCGGCGGCCGTCCGGTACGCGGATCCTGCAACCGTGCGCGCTTCAGGATCGGCTCGTACACGACATCACCGAGGTGGCTGCGTGGGCGATCCGCGACACTGTCGAGGACAAGCTTCGACGAAACGACCTGCTTCGGTTTGGGGAGAACGACAGGGGACGGGCTCCGAGGCGGTGGAGCAGCCCCAGCGTTGGACTGGGGGCCACGAGGAGCTGCATGGTGATGGTGGTGGTGGTGGTGATGGTGCCCACCTGGCAGGTCTTTGGCGAGCGTGGATGTTGGCGAGGGCACCGGCGTGGAGCCCTTGATGTTCCGGAAAGGCGCGCCGCCGACAAGCGCGGGAGACGCAACCTGCTCCAAGTTATGATGGTGGTGGTGATGATGATGACTGGAGAGTATGTTAGATATCTCGAAGATCCAAGAGACGAAAAAGGAACATACTGGTGATGGTGGTGTCCTTTGGCCTTTTTGGCCCGCCCCCCGACGGGCGTGAGCCTACCGTTGCTGCCCTCCTCGTCTTCTTCCTTCAGCTTCCTCCGCTTGCCCCGGCCTGTCGTCTTGGCCACCTCCGCTGGCGGCTCTTGCGCATCCAAGTCCTCGCGTCGAAGCAAGCTAGCACCGCCATAGGCAAGCTGAGCCCCTGCGGGGATCGGGCTCGAGAGGGTGCCAACCCCGGTTCCTATGCCGGAGAACATGCGCCCAAATTCGCTCTTGATCCCTGGTTCACCAGCTGGACCGGCGAGCTGCGGCTGAGCTCCCTGTACAGCCTGTGGGAGAGGAGAAATCCGCCCTTTGCGGTTCATCTCCTGGACTCCAAGCAGGTTGCGCTGGTGGCCGTGGGGAGTGCTTATCTCTTCAATGCTTCGGTTCCGCGGTTGCTCGTACATCGAAGGGCCCATGCTGCCGTAGGCAACCGAGGGAGGGGGGCCAGTGGCCTCCTCTCGACTGCGTGAAGGGGGCTGCTGCGGGTGGGGCCGGTCCATGTGCACAGCACCCATGCGCTGGCGGTCTGGAGATTCGTAGGTCTGCGGATGGGCCGGACCTGGAGGAGGCAGGCCATGCTGGTGATGCGGGTGCGGAGGGGGATGGCGGTCGACTGGTCCTGACGCATATGGATGTGGCCCGTAGTGAGGCCCCGTGCTGGGCGGATACTCTTGGTGCCTCGCGGGGTGCATGGCCGGGTCATACGGGGTTCGTGCCGGCTCGTACCCAGGTCGATGCCAGTCTCTAGGGTCTAGGGGGCGACCGTACTGCTGTGCCCGCTGTTCCATCTGCCGCGCGTAATCCTGCTGATGCATCCCATGTGCTCGATGCTCGACTCCGCTCATGGCCATGTCCCGACGCTCCCTCTCGCGATACTCCCTCTCACGAAGTTCCCTCTCTTGAAGTTCCCTCTCATAAAATTCCCTCTCGCGGGGCTCCAGCTCGCGCTCGTGGCGTTCCCGCTCCTGACGCTCCCTGTCCGACATGTACCTTTGCTCTTCAAACTTCATCACCCTGATGGGACGCTCCGGATTGTACTCTTCGGATGGCCGTGGTTCATCCCTGTGCGCGTACATGTCGGTTGGCGGCCTGCCCGCCTCAACCGGCCGCGGCGGGCCAGCGTTCGAATACTGCCTTGAAGGGCTCATTGGCCGGGGGGGCACCGCGCCGCCAGGTAACCTTCCCGATTCTCTTGTTTGCTCGGCGGGGGGGAGCGGAGGCCCTCGTGGAGGATACGCCTGCGGTGTTCCATAGCGTTGCAACTCGGGAGTCGAGTGATAGGCCGAGGCGGGAGGCGAGCCGGCGGGGACCGTTCTCGGGTCGCGGTTCTCGTACAAGCGATGGTGATCCGGTGTCTGGGGGCGTCGGAACGCGTTGTATTCGGACACCGTGGTTGGCTGCGGCCGTGGTGACGCATGCAAGGACTGGCTGTAAGGCGGACCAGGGGCCGTAGAAGTGGGCCCTGGAGGGTACTGAGAAGGAGCGGCAGACTCACGCACGGTTGGGGGGCCGCCCAACATGGACGATATCGACATGCTGCTCCCAGAGCTGCCAGTTCTTGGATATGATTCCAATGCGGGTAGCTCGCGTGCCCGCGGAAACGCAGTCGGAGGTCCTACCGAGACCGGAGGCGGGCGCGGCTGCGGAAGGCCGTATGATGTCCCCATCTGATGGCTGCTTGGCGCCTGACCCTGTTGCTGTTGTGGTTGTTGCTGGGGCGGTGAGTTGGGAGGTGGCATCCCGCGAGTCACGGGCGGTCCGGACGTGATCGAAGATGCGCTGTGATGGCGAGAATGGGCCGAGGGTGGCATGGCGGCGGGTCCGTGTTCAGCAGAATATTGTCTCGAATGAGGGTAATAGGGTGGCGCATCAGAGGGCTTTCGGGCGTGCACATCGGAGTACGAACTGGCGGTTGCAGGCGGGTGTGATGCGGAGGGCGGGTAGGGCGGTTGCGAGGTTGCTGTGGCCGGCGTCGGCGGAAAAGACGCTCGACTGAACGGTGAGGCACCGTTTCGAGAGAACGGATGTTGCGATGGCTGCCTCGGGTCCATGGCGCCAGGTGTCGAAGGTTGGTCGAAATAGTCGGAAATGCCCAAAAGGCTGTCATCGACTCCCCGTCGGAGCCAAGTTTCCAACGAAACCTCAGGGTTCGGCTGCCGGCGGGTCACAAGGTGACGGGAGAAACAAGGCGAGACGATGAGACGGTGCGACGCGATGTCCGAGATCCACAGCCGGGGAGAATGGACGACTTTCGGGCTCGAGGCTTGGAGGAGAAGGGTAGGTCGACCCTTGACAGGGGAAACACACCGATAAATTTTGCGACTTGTTCTTGTCGGGGCTTGCGGCCTCGCCTATGTCTGGGGAAAGAAGCGGTTGGATGACCCCGACATGCAGATTTGGGTCCCCACACGAGCAGCTCCAGCTCGCCAACAAACTCGCTGCAACTGGTCCGAGCTTGCTCCAAGCAGTGAAAAGTCCCTGGCCTGATTGGCTGTGCAAAATGCGTCGACCGGGGAAGGTGCTGCAGAGGGCCGCGAAAAACAAAAGCCGGGCAGACAGGGGTCTTGATCTGGCGCTAGCGGAGTTTTGGCCGCAAGGGTCTGACGCCTCCAAGTTGGATCGAGACCCAATTCCCACGACACAGGGCAAGTTGGCACATGTCAGAACCCAGCTTTCTTGTGTCTGAGTTGAGTACAACGCGAGTCGACTTGAGAAAGTAACAAGTTTACTTAACATGAGATTCTAACAAGCATCTCCAGGCATGGTAAACAAGATCACGAGGATCAAAAACTGCCGCATCAGGGTCCTTCCTTATTACTGTGCAGCAGCATCACTCCTGACAGATTCCCGACAATGTCACTCTGACGTGGGGATGGGCGAACTGATCTGCCCAATGCTTTTTAACACTCGAACTCTTGAACCATCCGCAGAATAGGATTCCCTCGCCAGCAATCGGCGGTTTGCCGCCTCGCCATGCTTGTCCTCGACTGCGACCCGTCATGCGCTCCTTCACCGCCAAACCGACAGTTGGAGGACTGGGAGTGGGCTCTCACATCGGCACATGCGGTTGGGATCGAAGCGTACAGATGGAGATACATGTACGCCGGCTTGCATGCAGCTTGCATTGCATGTACGGATTAACAACCTGGAATCGGTCAGGGTACCGCAGCATCCGTTTGCACAAACAAGCCGCGTCCGGCCTGATCGGGCTGCAGTGAGACAAAGGCCCTGGCGGTGACTTTGCCCCTTTGCTAGGTTGATGTTGGAGCGGCAAGCGGGGTATGGGATCTTCTCTCGTAGCGTTATACAGCGACGACGCATGAGAAAACTAATCATCCATTGACAGTCTGGAAGGGCTAACGTCGGGTGGTCAAGTCCAACCTTGGGGTCGCGAGAGACATCAGTACTCCGTAACTGCATCACCCAAAGCACCGAATCCACACTACCGAATCAGGCTATCCAGTCAACAGTTTGAGTGCTACAGCCATGCACAAAGCCGGCCATTCCATGCTGTCCCCACCAACCTAAGTGCCTGTTCTGGGTTCTACCGGCAATGGGCGACTCGGATTTTGATTTCAGGACAGGAAGCACGAAGCAGGACGAGAAGGGAGGCTGACGTTGCTGAAGCCGAAGCCCTTTGACGGTGACTTGGTTCGGCGCGGGGAGTCAGGCCAGGAACCAGCCCTCCACCCTTTCACTGACTGCCAGTGGCGATCCCGGTTGCAATGGCCAAGGGAAGTCAGAAGGCACCGCAGCGGTAGGTACCTTAGACAAGACTCGGATGGAAAGGGAACTACTGTCGTCACCGTTACTTCCTACGGTACGTCCGGGAACTGCGCCTTTCCGAACGGCAAGGGCAATGGGCACACAGAGTCACAAGGCACCGAACGTAAGAAGCCGTGAACCACTTCCTGCTTCAAAAGGCAATGGCTGTCTTCAGGAGACGAGAGTTGACCGGACTGTCGTTCTAAGAATTTCGACTTCTGAACTGACAACTCTGGTTTGATACGCCGCAGCATCACATCCGCAGCGATGTTCAAGGCTCCCACAAGAATGCCGCTGTCTTCCCTTCTCCTCGTTCTCGCCGCAGCCGCCTCAGCACGTGTCATGGACCGGCTCGCCGCAGTCCCCCCGGGGTGGCAGCAGTCCCGGGCAGCATCGCCAGACGATCCCATCTTTCTCCGCATCGCCCTCAAGCAGCAGCCGGAGCGTGTCAAGGCCCTGGACCAGGCCGTGTTGGACATGTCGACTCCCGGACATCCAAACTACGGCCTGCACATGACGCGTGACGAGCTCAGATCCTACACTGCTCCGTCCGATGATTCCGTTTCGACCGTCACTTCCTGGCTCCAAGATCACGCTATCCAGCCAACGGTGGACAACGATTGGGTCTCGTTCACCACCACGGTGCGAACCGCTAATGAGCTGCTCGACACCCAGTTTGCCTGGTACCAGCACTCCCAGGGCAGCCACCCTGCGCTTCGGACCCTCTCGTACAGCGTGCCCGACCATGTCGCCCCTCACCTCGATCTTGTACAGCCCACCACCCGCTTCGGCAACCTCGGTGCTCGCAAGTCAGCCGTCTTTGACACGCACCCCATCGAGCTTGACGGAACTATCATCCCCGAACCAAACGTGAAGTTCTCGACCAAGGAGACCGACCCGTGTGCCTCCCAAATCACCCCGGCGTGCCTCAGGGTGCTGTACAACATCCATTACAAGCCGGCTGCCCCTGACGACAATAAGGTGGCGTTCGCTTCGTTTCTCGAGGAGTATGCCCGGTACGATGATTTGGAAGTATTCCTGAAGCGCCTCATGCCGGAGGCAGTGGACGCGAACTTTACGGTTGAGCTTGTGAATGGGGGTCTGAACGACCAGGAGAGCGAGGATGACAGCAGTGAGTCCTTCTTTCTCTTCATACGTGCTCAATTCAACCCTAGTTTCCTGTTCACCATCGCCGATGCTCGTTGCCTTCTCCGACTGCACGTTCCTTTGCTCTGATCCACCACAAGCCTAACGTGCGGCAGGCGAGGCCAATCTCGATTTGCAGTACATCCTCGCCCTGAGCCATCCGATTCCCGTGGTGGAATACAGCGTTGGCGGACGCGGTCCCCTCGTTCCTACGGCCAAACAGCCCAACCCGCCGGGCGACAACGAGCCGTACTTGGAATTCCTCCTGTACATGGCTGGGCTACCGGACTCGACCCTCCCGCAGACCATTTCCACCTCGTACGGCGAAGAAGAGCAGTCGGTACCCCGCGACTACGCCATCAAGGTCTGCGACATGTTCAAGGAGCTCGGTGCCCGCGGCGTTTCGGTCATATTCGCCTCGGGTGATTCCGGCCCCGGCGACTATTGCATTAGCAACACGGACAACACCACCTTCTTTGAGCCGACCTTCCCCGCGGCCTGTCCGTGGGTGACTTCGGTTGGCGGCACGACGGACCCGTCCGAGGAGCACGCCACGACGTTCTCGAGTGGCGGCTTCAGCATGTACCATGAGCAGCCCGTCTGGCAGAAGGACGCGGTCAACCGCTACCTCGACTCGATCGGCGACGTTTACTCGCCCTTCTTCAACCGAACAGGAAGGGGTTTCCCCGATGTGGCTGCCCAGTCGAACAGGTTTCTGGTGCATAACGGGCCGTACTTCACCCTGATTGGTGGGACGAGCGCTGCGTCCCCTGTGGTGGCTGGCATGGTTGCGCTGTTGAACGCGGCGCGCAAGGCGCAGGGCCAGCCGCCGATGGGGTTTTTGAATCCCTGGCTGTACAATAACTCGGCCGCGTTCAAGGATATTACTCTCGGAGCCGGGAGGGGGTGTTATGGCAGGGAGGAGTTTGGCGGGGGGTATGCGCGGTGGAATGCCACGGCCGGATGGGATCCTGTGACGGGGCTGGGCACGCCGCTGTTTGATAAATTGCTGGAGGCGGCTGCGCCGGGGACACCGAATGCGTAGGGGTTTATGTGGGTTGTGAGCATCGGTAAGAGGAGGTAGTAGATGTCGCCAGGTCGGGCATGATTAAGAACGTGATGAGAAGAGTAGAGGTTAATTGGTTGTGAAAAATTACATAGGCACGTCAGGGTTGCCCAATATAATGCCCTATTTTCTTTTATTCTTCCGTCTATTGCCTTTTTGCCGTGTTCTTTGCCCTCGGGTGCCCCGTTCCCTCGACATGCCAAGGGAGGTGGACTCAATAAAGACAACATGAACTCTGAAGTGAGGGGCGATGCAAGACAAGACAGGACGAACATGTGAAGAAAATTTGATACAGCCCAGAGATGTAATGTACACCAAAGCCCGTCCTGAACTCCACGCATCCGCTTCCTCATAACTCATAGCGTGGGACCCCTACTTTTCCCATAATGTATTGTACATGTACACTTGCCATTAGTATCCAACCAATCCGTACCTCTTAGTCTTACATAGCCTTCCTGTGCATTACACAGCCCGATCCACCCTCTCCTCACGACTCTCGCGCCCAACAAGCCCATTGCCGCTGTCCTTTTTCTCCAGCTCGCCATCGACAGCCGTAGCCCTGCTGGGCCGTCCGCTCGGCACGGCCGTCGTCCGATCGTCCAACAGATCATCACCATTTCCTCCTCCTGAGTAGGCATGGTAATGGCGGCGCTGAGAGTAGTAGGCCTCGTCGCGCTGCAGGCGCGTGAGGTAACCCTCGGGCACCCACTTGGCGGACGTCCGGGGTTTGAGTTGAGGTTGGGAGTACATGGCGTCGACGTTCTCGAGGGAGAGGGCGCGGGATTCGTAGAGGAAGAAGTAGACTATGACAAAGGCGACGAGGTTGGTTGCGACGAAGACGAAGCCGTAGGCGTAGGAGATTCCGGCCGTGGCGAGGGGGGTTAGAAAGGAGATTAGGACTGTTGGTTTTTTTTTGGAGGGTTAGTCTGGTGCCAGTGTGCGAGGTGGGGAGGAAAGGAACGGGATGATGGGTGGGATTGGGAAAGAAGGGGAGGGGGGGGCTTACAGTTGCCTAACCAGTTGCCTGCCGTTGCTAACGAGGCTTGCTTCGCGCGCGTGCGCAGGGGAAAGGTCTCTCCGATGACGACCCAGCAGATGGGGCCCCAGGTGATGGCGAAGGAGGCGATGAACATGGCTGCCGACACGATCATGACGATACCCGACGTCTGATTGTCCTCAGGGTTCAGGGCGGTGCCCATCGACGAGAAGACGGCCAGCCAGGCGGCCTGCCAGAGCGCGCCAACCAGCAGCGGGATGCGCCGGCCAAAGCGCTCGACCACGTACAGGCCGACAAAGGTCGAGCCCACGTTGATGGCGCCCAGGATCAGCTGCGTGCGGATCGGGTCGTCGATGCCGGCCGACTCGAAAATGGTGGCGCCGTAGTAGAAGAAGTAGTTGACGCCCGTCCACTGCTGCAGGAAGTGGATCGAGATGCCTAGCGCGGTGCGGTAAACCTGCTTGGGCACGCCGTTGGGCCGCGGGATGAAGCACTCAGCCCAGGTGCCGAGACCAACGTCGCGCTCCTTCTCGAGGATCTCGCGCATCTCGCGCATGTCGTCCTCGACGAGGTCGTTGTGCGGGTTGTTCTTCATGCCGCGCAGCCGTGCCATGGACGTGCGTGCGGCGTCCCACCGCGACCGCGCCGCCAGCCAGCGCGGGGACTCGGGCACCAGCAGAATGCCCAGCCCCAGCGGCAGGGAGAAGGCGATGCCCAGGCCGACAACGATGCGCCACGATGCGGCCGAGTCTTCGATCTGGCGCACGCCGTAGTTGACGCAGTTGGCGACAAGGATGCCTATGGTGATGAGGAGTTGGTACGAGGCCACGACGGCGCCGCGAATCTCGCGTGGCGAGGACTCGGACTGGAACATGGGCACGCCCACCGACAGGTTGCCGATGCCCAGGCCCGCGACGAAACGGCCCATCATGAGGTGCACCCAGGAGCTCGTGGCTGTGAGCTGGATGATGCAACCGATAATGAAAACGACAACACCAAAGCTGAGACTCTTTCTACGGCCCCACCAGTCGGCCGTGCTGGGTCAGGGGTAAGCCAGCTGGAAATGTAAAGAAATACCAAGGTTGGACATACTAGGAGGCAGTAAGGGCGCCGACGAGTGTCCCAATGCTCATCAAAGACACGACCAGCGACTCAATGATGGGGATGAAGTCTCTTCCCTCGGGAGTATCTTCCTGGCCAAACCGGTTCTTGAAGTCGCGAAACAGCAGCATGCCCGAGATTTGGCCGGTATCATAGCCAAAGAGGAAGCCCCCTATCGCGGTGATAGCCCCGAGGATGATGGCCTCGGCGCCGCAATCGGCGCCATTGATGCGGAGGGATCTAGGGGGAATAGTTAGCTGTGGAGCTGTTCCACAGGGCTGTATTGGATGCTTACTTCCTTCCCAGCATCCCGACGGATTGATTTTAGCTTGCAACAACTTGGATCGCCCGTTCAACTGCTGAGACCGACACGTGGTGGGAACAGTGGAACAGACGTTGAACCCATCTGTGCGGATCTTATAACGGGCTTTTTCTCTTCGTGCCCATCTGACACTTCCACCCCAATGATGTCACAGCGGCTGCTGCTTCTGAAGCCATTACGGCAACCATGGCAAGCCGGATGAGATCCTGGCAATTCTGGACGAGGATTCGGCCACCGCGCTGCGAATGGGTCATCGTCGCGCGAGCGCAGGGCAATGCAATGGCAGGCCCCGCAGGCTACGGGACCCCAACAAAGGCGGCTCGGTCCTTGGGCCAATGATATCTGCCAAGAGGCGCGCTGTGACGCAACATGGCGGGAGCCCCACCCAGGGTCTTCAAATCCCCGGGAGTGGCGTCAGTGGGCTTCCCTTTGATCAGGAGCCAAGCCCCGGGCATGAAGCCGTCATGGGTCATGCGATGGGTCGTCTTTCCAGGGTTCGCTTTTATGACCCGGTGAAGACGGTTATCCCCCCTTGTCATTGTGCTTCTTCTGTAAAGGTGCAAGTAAGCTCTGACACTACCGGGGCATGATGGACCTTTCGCATCTTTCAAACTTTGGTTGCTGCTCTGGTACCGGACTTGACCTACTCCTGCTTCCTGAGGCCCTGGGCACAGCCACTTGCATCATTGTTTGAGTTACTTGCAAACTTGACTTGGCGCAACATGAAGCTGAACTGACCCTGCGTTTCGAGCCCTCTATCACCCCCGGAGCGAGACACCGAGGATAGCCAGCCCAGCAGCCGGCTTCGCTAGCCTCCAGCAGACAACTTGCCACTCTTTGACATTGCCACGGTCCGATGCGGGCAGAAGAAGAGGACCGCTGGCCTGAGTGTCCTCGGCGTTGGGCTCGGGGGTGGCACCGTATGGGGCTCGAAGCGGAGGGTCAGGTTCAGCTTTCTGTTATGGATTGTATTGAACAATACAAAGTTCGTAGAACGCAATGACAATGTGATGGCATGTGACATCGTGAGACAAGACACGACCGGGCCGGCCATGCACAGCTCGCACATCGGAAGAGGCGGGGGTTCACCCCTTCCGCCCTCCTCCCCCCTCCACCACTGCTATTCCTCATGTCCCAAAGGCCGCGAAAACCTCCTTGGGATGTCTCTCTGTACTTCCCCTCCTCTGGTACAAACGTGTCCTAAGTCGATGCAAGGAGGACTTGCATCGGCTCGAATCAGCAAGCTCAGTTGCCGCCAGCGCGAGGATGCGGAACCACTTCATTAGGCCCGCCGCTCCAGCAGCCATCCGAGCACAGCCAAACTTGCAAACACAATAAAGAGCGGCGCCTGCGGGAAGCCAGGCGGGCCAAATTCCGGATCGATCCCCTCCGTGCCGGGGTAGAGGATGGACGCGAGCCCGGCCAGCCAGTATATCGTACCGGTGAAGACAGCCGCGCCCAGTGAGTCTTGGGCACGCTGCTTGGCGAGAGCTGGAGGCGTCGATGGCGGGAGGAAGGACGGGCGCCAGGTGTGGTACAGCGTGGCCAGGCTGAGGGCGACCGAGAGGGTGATTGTTTGGGCGCAGTGGAATCTGTGGTTTCTTTGTCAGGCCGCAATTTCAACCACAGTAACCTGCCAGAATAGGGTTGGCCTTTGATTGTGGTTAGGCAATAACGCACTTTGCATGCGGCGGCCAGCGCGGATTGAAAATGTGGGTGTGGTTGTAGTCGGCGATGGGAGCGCCGAGCAGGAGGGCGATCGCGTCGAGTGTGAGGAGCAGCCTGCCGAGCATGGTGCAATGTATAGCCGTCAAGCCAGGAAAATTCCAGGGTATATTTAGTAGTAGACAATCAGTCCAAAGATTGATGATGGATGGGGATGCTCATTGAGGGAATGGGAAGGGGCCCGTTCAACTAGTAATCGATTGGGGAAGGCCCGCCGGTCTGATCCGGACTCCGATTGATGCTGCCCCGCCGGACTGGAACTGTTGGTTTGTGGAATCCGAGAGCGGGACACGAGAGACATCTACAGCCCATCAAGAGCTCCGTCAAACCATAATTTAGGTGGACAAGTAACGGTGACAGTACGACAGCTTGACGGACAAAAAGCGAATCCAGGTATCTCCGTCGACCTGACAAACATTGACGGGATACATTCATCAAATCGATGGAAGGATGAACAAGGCATGAGTGAAAAGAAGCCGATTTTTGGGGATCCTTTGAAGACTGTGCTACCTTCATCAGGCGCCATCTTTTCTTTGGAGGGGTTTTCAGGTCCATCTGTTATTCGTGATTTGTCCATGACTGGATGTTGTATGGCGCAGCTGGATTCGAGATTACACGTGGAAGGGACTGGCAGGGAACGGGCCCCTCTGCAACTGCGGGCCCCACTCAGCACCTCTCAAGGCCAAACTTTTGCCGCCCACCACCAGCCGCTGTGGTTGGAACCTGGAACCACAGGACAACCCGAAGCCAGAGGCGGAGAACAGCGCACAAGCCGAACAACCTACTCCGTAGAACCTCCCAACAACCAAGGCCGCTCATCTTGGAAACCCTCTCCTCACCATCAACCTTCATCTTGCATCCGCTTCAGCCAGACAACGAACCCCAGACGAACCATCTCGCTGTTTTTCTCTACAGCGCCCACTTTTAAGTTTCTATTCCCCTCTTCTTCCCCGCATCGACTCCCATCGACTCCCGTCCTGCTCACGAGGGAGCCCTCGAATGCCATGTCCCGCTGCCGCTGTCCACGGCACATGGGGGATCCAGCATCTGCTTCTTGAACCTGCCCGGCGCCAGTTTCAAGTCTTCTCTGGCATAACAAGGTCAACACAGAGACCCGTTCCACTGCGCTTGAAGCCTGCTAACGCTGTTCTCCTGCTCTGCTAGACGGCCGCATTTCCGCCCGTTGCTGCACGAATATATTCTAGACCACCCCACTTCCACGGACTGGCAGCGATTTCCATGTAAGGTGGCACACCCACGCTTGGAGATCCAACTCCCGTCTTCTCCCTCTTCAGCACCAGCCCGAGACGTCCAATCGATACGCCTTTCAACTTCCACATGTCAGAGAAGGATCCGAATGATTACACACAGACGTAATGCCTCGCTCAGGCTTGCGGACTCACAGGACAGTGGAGATTCGACAAGATCTCGTCACTTTGACATGCCTCGTCACTCACGGCCCCCTTGATAAGGAGCACTGGGCCCCCCAACCCTCCCAAACCCCCCCCCCCCAAAGCTTCTCCCTTGCCCGCCAACACTTGGACATAATTTCTACCTTCTCCGCGATCACCACAATAACGACATCCCCACGCAATGCCACGCAACTCCACCATCTACGCCAGCAGCCTAAGGCAGGCCAGGCAGCAGCGGCGATGCTGCCACACATATAACAGCATGTCCCCCAAGGGTCCCCCAGGGACAGGACATAGTTTGACCCAAACTACCTTTTACCCTTTGGACACACTTACCAACACTGCTTCGCAGCCCCAGAAGCGAGAGGGAGCAACTCAAACCTGCAGAACGGACACACCTCGGCCTTCGAGAGTCCCACATCACACAGCAAGCAAAACCGGCTTCATCAGACACAACAGATTGGAGAAGCAAAGCTCAAAGGTTGCATCATCTCGACGACTCTGTATGCGTCACCCCAACAAAGCCTTTTTCTACGCCAGTTTCCCTCGCACCACCGCCCATTACCAACCTAGCACGACGCCAAACCCTCAACGCCCCCAGCCCGACAAGTGTTGTCAGCCCATCCATCCGCCAGGGCTGATAAAGCAAGGCAGATCCCTCAGACCCCCGCCTCTCTCGAGAGACGCAAAAAGAAACGAGAAACGAAAAAAAGAAAAAAACAGGGTAAACGCGAAACCCGCACCAACCAGACCGAGCCGATCCCGATTATACCGAGCCAGGAACCGAGCAGTTCAACCGATCGCATCATTGGACCCATCAAGGAACGCAGTCGCAGACGATGAAAGGAGGAAAACGCCCAGTTTCATGCCGGGTAAGTAAGGGTCAGATCGGCTCCATGTTCCTTGGTCTTGGTCTCTGTACTACTCAAACACACAACAACCCCCCCTCCCATCGATCCATCCCACGCATCCCTCCACGCTTCATCAAATCTGAACTCCCCCTTTTCCCTGTGCCCGTCGTTGAGTTCTCAGCAATGCGAAGGAGCCGACGTCCAAAAAAATAGGTCTCGGTCAAAACCTGGATGGACAGCTGCAAGGCACGCGCCTAGATGTCGTGGGCCTGGGCTAGTGGGCAAAGCGGAGCAAGCGCAGAAATGCGGGCTGCAGCCGCAGGAACAACCCACCAGATGGGCATGGATGCCGTGGTGGGTACTGGCCGCTGACCGAAACGGCGACGATGTCATGTTGCCGTCCTCTCAAGAAACCAGTCACCCAACCCACTCTCCATCCCACCAAGCCCGCCTCGCCTCCGGGAACGTTTTGCGAAGTCGCAAACACTGATTGCTGGGCCGCTCCCAAGGCCCCCAAGGTACTGGGGATCTTTTCTTGAATATGGTACACACGAGTTGAGTATTCTACATGGCGAATGGAAAGAGCTGGTGCAATATGGACAATTGCCCCTGAGGGGGTGGCTGTCGCTGAGCGAAGCTGCAACTGAGAAGCAAGAGAGGTGCGGCGCAAGTGGCACTCCCTCTCCTGCTGTTGATGCTGTCGTCATTGTTGCGTTCTGGAACGGTGAACCGCGGACGAAGGCCTGCTTAGTCCTCCTCCGAGTCGACCTCGTCCTCGCTCTCGTGCTCGGCCTGGGCGGTTGTGGGCTCGTTGCTGTTGCCCTCGATCGACTCCATGGGCTCCTGGCTGCCAGAGGCTTGACGCCCCGCCTGGGCGCGGAGCTCGTTGAGCTGCTGGATGCGACGCTCCTGCTCGCTCTTGCTCATGGGCTTGTTCTTCTTGGACTTGGACGACTGTCTGGGCCGGGCGGCGGCGGCCGGGGGGTCCGAAGACGGCGGGGCCTGCACCCCGCGCTGCCTCTCCTTCTCGGCCCGAGCGTTGGGGTTGGCTTTGAGGGCGATGTCGTACAGTTTGACGAGCACGTCCTCGGAAAGCAGTTCTATGTCCAGCTCCAACTCCCCGGCGTCGTTCTCATCCTGGCCTGTATCTTTCTTGATCAGGTCAATAGCCTGCTCGAGATACGGCCCATCCAGGTTCCCCAGGGAATCTATGATGATCTCCTTCTCCATCGGGCCAATCTTCTTCTTGGCCGGCCTCTTGGGACCGGCCTTCTTGGCAGCCGCGCCGCCCACACCAGCGGTGGCCTTCTTGGCGGGGATGGCGGATGCACCACCAGCCTTCTTGGACTTGGCCGGCTTAGGCTTGCCCGGCTTCTTCGCCGACAGAGTAGCCAGCTTGGCCCGCTCCGTCATGAACTGCTTCTGCAGCATGGCCACGACCGACTGCGCTATCTCGACGTCGGCCATATCCGCAGTGCCAGAGGTGACCATGTCATTGAGCTTCTTCTGCTCCTGGTCCATGCGCTTCTGGAGAGTCGCCATACGATTCTCAGTTCGCTTGCGCTCCTCCTCCTGCTCGGGGTCAGCTTCGGAGTCGGCGTCGTCAGAGTCAGAGTCATCCCGCAGGTGGCCGCCCGCCGCATGGGGGGAAGCAGCAGTGGAGGTGGGCGCGTGCTTGGCCATCCACTCGTCCCTCTTGGACATCTCAGCGCGGTATAGATCCTGCAGCCGGAGCGCCTGGTTATAGACAATGTGGTCCTCGCCGTTGAAAGTCCTGCAGTTCTTGATGATGAGGTCAAAATCCTTTTCAAACTCCTTCGCTGACGTGTACTCTCCCGCGCTCAGCTTGTTTGTCATGGTCTGCAGATCCATGGGTCTCTTGATGACCTTGTGGTACGTGGGGATGTTAAGGGCAACAGGGTCCACGGGCTGCATGAAGGCAGCATTGATGTCATAGTGCTTTGACTTGCGAAGCTCGGTCAGCACTTCATCGCAAAAGCGAAGCTCGAGTGGCAGCTTCTTCTTGCGCTTGGTGTCGTATACCAGGTCTTTGGGATGCGCGGGCTTGACGGGCCGCTTGGCCCTGCTGTCGGCTTTGGTGGAGTCACGACGGATGAGAGGCACACCATTGCTACCAGGAGGCAGAGCAAACGCAGGCGATTCAGGAACAGGCGGCTTGTGTGGCGGGCTGCCCGCCGCGCCCTTGGATGGGCGAGCGCTGGACGCTGTGGGCACGGGCGGCGCGGTCGCACGGGGCTCGACGTGCCGAGTCGTGTGCGCCTTGGCCGGCTGGTTCTTCTCAGGCTTGGGAGGTTCAGCGGCCGGTTGCTGGGACATGCGATAGAGGATCGAATCGCGGCAGTTTTTAGCCTGAATCGTCACCTCGTGGCCCTCGCCGTTGAAGGTCAGGGCGTTCTGAACCATCAGCTCAAGATCTTGCTTGAACTCACCCATGGTGGCGTAGCGAGGCGCATCGCCGCGCAGCCGCTTCTCCATTGTGCTGATGTCTGTCGGGTGTGACACCTTGGCCGAATAGTCGGCCCACAATTGCGGCCAGAGCTGCTGAACTGGCAGACGGAACATGACGCCGACCTTGGTCTTCTTGACGCCCGCCAAGACCTGGCGAATTTGCTTGTTCTGCCATTCTGTGATGGGTTGGTCGTTGAGCGAGTCATCGGCTAGAGTCCTGAGCTTTGCTTTATCGGCCTTCGCCTGGCCTTGATCGACGTCCATGGGATCCGCCGGGGTACCAGTCCGTACTTGCACTTCGTCCGCCGGGGGGCCAACCTTGGTCCGCTTCGCTACAGGTTCGTCATCCTCGCTGTCGATGTCTCGTTCTCTGGAGATCTTTGCAGATGGCTGCGCGGCCTCCGACATGCTCGTGTCGGCCGGAGTGGGAGGGGGCGGGGTGCCCACACTGGTACCCACGGGGCCATCCTGAGCATCGGGCGACAGCTTGCCCGATTCTGCTTTGGGACTGACAGGCGTGGCGTCCGTTACCACCGTGTCTTGTGTGCTCATCTCCTGTTGATGCGTGTCTCCGGCGTCCGCCATCGCCACGTCTTTGCTTGAACCCGCAGCCGTGCCAGTCGCATTCTCATTCGGCTCCTCCTCAGTGTTGTCTTGACTCTCAGGTTTGGCCTCCGAGTCCGGGTTGGGATGCGACTTGGGCGAGAGGTTCTCCGATTTGATCTCGTCGGGCCCTCGATCGGCGGGCGCGTCGGGCATGTCGGTGTCGGCATGTGTGTCGGCGACCGGCGAGGTAGCGTCCTTCATATTGCCCTTGTCAGTATCGCGGGAAATGTCGTTCCCGGCGTCGGCTGTGGGTTTAATCGGTTGATCGTCTTCCTCTTCGTCGTTAGGTAAAGTTTGATTCGCGGAAAGCGAGTCTTTATTGATGGTGGCGGCGGCGGCCTTGGAGTCAGCAGGCAAATCGCTGTTGGGTGGAGATTGGTTCGCGGGAAGCGAATCTTTGTTGTGGGTTGTGGTGGGCGGCGCGGCCTTGGAATCAGCCGGCAATTCACCATTTAGTTTCGGCGCGCTACCGAGAGAACCGGGTTTTTGCATGTTTTCGTCGTCTGGGGGAGAGAGAGTGCTGATGGATTAAATCAGTATGCGATTCCCCAACCCGGCGTAGCCGAACAAAGGAAAATTCCGACCTACCCATTCAACTCTAGACGCCTGTTGAGCGCTTCCTCGCGCGCAGCGATCGCGATCTGGAGCGGCTTTTCGTCCAGAAGCGCGCCCTCCGACTGTTGAGTAGTCATGACTGCCATTCGGTGGTTTCCCCGTCTTTAGACTCGATGCATCAAATCGGCTGCACTCGGCGGCTGTTAGCGATGCATGTATGTCACAGTCGCGAAATCGCAGATGTAGTGTGCAATGTGCAGGTCGCAGACGCAAAGTTTGCGTCGCAGGTCGCGATTCTACGAGGCGCAGAATGAATCGCAGCAACCCTGCATGTATTGAGAACGCAATTTAATGTAGCAGCAGAGATGGTTTTGTGTGCGACAAAGTCGTGGCGACGACGACCCTGAAGATGGTTACATGAAGGGAGGCAAATGCCATTCGCGGGAGGCGGATCGCGAGTGGAACTGCGCGAAGCGGCCGTGCACACGCGTTGGATAGCGATGCGAATTTTGGGGATTTTTTGGGGGGAAGAAAGGCAACCACTCACATGTTTGCTTTAAAAAGAGAGCGAGGAAGAGGCTGAGGATTATAGAATTCCGTGGATCCAGCCTCGCGAGTGTGGCGGGAGGCAAACTGTCCGGAATGACGATCGTTGTTGCGTTGTTGGAGTGGTTGCGTCGGATCCCTGGCTGTGTTGTTGGCTCGTGCAGAGGCTGGAATAGAACGACGCAGGACAGAATCCAGATCCTGATTTGTATGGGCGGTGTGCTGGAGACCCGCGCTGTGATTGGTTTCGGTGGTTGTGAAGGAGGGGCAAATTGCCGGTTCTGTATGGAAGTCACTTCGTACCTCGAGACCACCGTCAGTCTTCTGAAAGTTTGGGTTCAAAACACACGACGGCCCCGGCCGGAGGCCCTTGGCTATTTATCAGAAGCGGCCGAGCTCCAGCGCGTAGACCGTGGCCCCGCCTCTGAGTGGTCGAGTGGTTTATCGCAGCTGCCTTGAGACTTTTGATTGGTTATAGCTTCCAATTAGTGGGGCAGGGCACGGGCTGCAGAGGGCCCACAACGTGTCATTTGTACCACTCGCGGCTGCATTTTTCTGGTATAAAGCTACCATCCTGGCCCATCATTCAACTTGGAACATGTCGACGCTGCAAAATGGGAAAGTTCGAACTCTCCTGCATTCAGTTGGTGTCGTGGTGCAGCCTAAGCTACGAGAAATTCAGCGATACCGGGAGAGGTTGAACCATGGCCGGATGCAATACACATGCCGGTGAACCTGGCAAGCTTTGATGTACGGCTGAGATGTCCGCACAAAGCGATGGACCCTGAGCTCCTGCAGCTGTCCTGTCGCTTTCAGCGCAGGCATGAGTCCTGTTTTGCGCTCTAGATTATGAGCACAAACTCCAAAGAGTGCAGTCCGATGATTCATCGACACCAGGAGCATAGTTAACAATCAACGTTGTGTACCAAAGAGACTATGGCATTTTGAAACGGGCATTGACAGAAAGCGCTGATAAAATGCACCAGGGGGTACGCGAGAATGACGCGAAGCCGCCAAGTTCACGTTTGCAGCGTTGTAAGGGACCTAGGGGACGTAGCCCGAGCGGCAGGTAGCACAAATACAGCCCTCATGCCGCATCCCGTCAGAAACTTTGGAACATATTAGCCAGAGTTTGCAGACCGTGCCGTGGCAACGTTCAGAGTCTTACACTGCTGAAGGCCCCTTGTTTGTGGACGGGAGAAGCGCGGACAATGAAACTTCCAGCATTCGGTTGAAAGATCCGGGAACAAGTGAGTTGCTGATCGGAGCCCCTTTCCATTGCGTCGGTGGCCTTGGCGGCCAAAGATTGCACGTGCACTTTGCCATCACATATGATATCACATGACTTGATACAGAATAACAACCTCACCATTAGGTGGGGCGCCACGCCAGCCAAAGCGGTCCGTGTGGCTGACCCAAGTGTCCGTGTGGCTGGCCCGGACGTCAACCCGAACCCCTTCAGAAAAAGTTTGGCTGCAGTCCAAAATTTCTGCTGCGCTCCCGTCAATGGAAGCAGGCACAACAACGCCCACCTCGACCCGTTCCCTCAGCCGCGACGGGATCTTTCTCTAGATAGCGCCAGTTACCAATCCATTTGCAATTGGCGGTACAGCATTTCTAAGTCGTTGTCTGCTTGGGTAGCGGCACCCATCCCGCTTGTCGACCATTCAACACCTTTTCCCCCTCCAACGCGAATTCGAAAAGATGTCGACCAAGCGGAAAGCCGCCACGGCCATCGCAAAGCCAGTAGTGAGGCAAAGCGCAAAGACGCCGACCAAATCCAAGATTGACGAGGCCAGGACCGCAGTGTCAACAGGACTATCACGAAATCCAGCATCGAAAGCGTCAGCTGAAGCGATCGACATCGCAGACGACTCGGCCGGCCAATATGATTCTGACAATGAGGAAGGAGCTAGCGATTCTGAGGAGGAACACGAAGGTGGCGAGACCCTTTCCGCCAAGCCCTCAAGGCAAAAGAGAACCCAGGATGCCACAGATGTGGACGCAGTAATGCAAGAAGCGGGCGACACCTCCGACGGCGAACCTGCATCGCCAACCTTCGGCGACCTCGTCCGTGGCAACTCGACCATCGACGTCCCCGCCGCCCTGGCCGCCCAAGCAACCACCACCGCGCAGACCTCCCAGCTCCCGTCCCAACAGCACACCACAACAGCCCCAATCAGCGCGACCTCGCTCGGCATGGTGCTGAACCAAGCCCTGCGGACCGACGACGCCGACCTGCTCGAATCGTGCCTCCAGACGACCGACGTCAAAATAATAGAGAACACCATCAACCGCATGGACTCGTCGCTCGCGGCCGTGCTGCTGTCCAAGCTCTCGGCGCGCATGCACCGCCGGCCCGGCCGCGCGTTTGGCCTGATGCGCTGGATGCAGTGGACGCTGGTGGCGCACGGCGGCGCTCTCGTCACGCAGCCGGACCTAGTCGCCCGGCTGGGCGAGCTCAGCCGGGTACTCGAGGAGCGCGCCCGCGGCCTGTCGAGCCTGCTGGCGCTTAAGGGCAAGCTGGATATGCTCGACTCGCAGATGAAGTTCCGCAAGTCGGTCAAGGCGGGCGGCGGCGTCGGTCGACTTCGAGGTGGGGACGAGGTGGAGTCTGATAAGGCGGAGGAGGACGATGAGAAGGACGTGGACGAGCCCGGGGTGGTATATGTAGAGGGCCAGGAGGGGCTTAGCAAACCGCTTACCAACGGTACGGCTGCTGGTCGGGATGCTGGTGCGGTTGAGGACGATGATTTCCCGGCTGGGCGGGCTGAAATATCGGATTCGGAAGAGGAGTCGGACGAGGAGTTTGGGGAAGAAATGGACGAGGAATTGGCGGCAGCTGAGTCGCTGGATGAGGACGAAGTGGACCACGACGATGTAGAGGAGGATGAGGAGGAAGAGACTGAGGGTGAAGAGTCAAGGCCTCCCGCAAAGGTTCGGAGAACATCGGAGAGGATCTCAAAAAGGAAGTAAGAGTCAGATAGAGGAGCATTTGGGCGTCTGGGATTCTATGTACGGGGGACATAGACGACTGCTGTCGGAGAATGTGAATGCATATCCATATGTCTGACCATTGACATCCGTTCAGTCAGCCTTGGTTCTGCGGTCTCAGGTGTCAATTCGAAGGTCCGAGTGTCTCTCTAGCAGCCGTTTTGCATCATTCGTTAGGGCTCTGGAGCAGCAAGCTCAGCCGACTAGAGCTGAGAAGTGGCAGTAACACTTCCTGTAGCGGTCTTTGTAAGCGCCCTGCCATTTGGATGTTGTTAACTCGAAAACAAAGATTGAATGGAAGGGGGCCCTAAGGGAACCGGAAAAGTATAAGGAACCTGGCAAATAGATGTTTCCTAATCTTACACCCCCCACCTCCTTCCTATAATTACCAGTAGTATCCATCACCCTAAAGCACAGTCTAGTAGTCATCGTCATTATCCTCGTCAGTTACAGACCGCAATTATAATTGTCTTATACCTACCTACCAAAAGGATAACTCTCTGAGCCTGACATGTGGCTTCTCTACTGTCCCAGCAATGACTAGAAGGGGCTCATCTAGGTGCTGCCGCACCCGTCAGACGCTGCCGAGCCGTCTACGGTCATAAACCGAATGTTCTTCTGATTATCCAGTCTGCACTATATCATCTCGGAGATTGACTGGACTCTTAGCACCATGCGCTAGTCTCTTAGGAAAATAACATGGAGAGAGGTAAATACATTATCGACTCCGGGAAAGGGCATATGTCAACTCTAGACCTATTGAGTCGACAAAATACCCCTATAAGTGTCACGAATTAACCAACACCAGGCCGCATGCCAGAAGGCCATATGCGGGGCGCAGGGAACGCCCGAGCCAATCACTTAAGGAAGCAAGGCAGACTAGTCAGGATGAAGCTAGACTGATATAACGCCAAGACAGACGAGCACATTGCAGCATGCAAGGTGCTCGGAGCGATTGAAGGCATAGCACTGCGAGCACTCGAAGAATCGTGTCAGTATATAGTCACTCGCTCCGGATGACTCTGAGAGTTCTCCAGTAAGCAACTCAAGTGCAAGATTGCCAGTACCCTTGGACATTGCTTGTTGTGTACCCTTTGGCTGCACCGAACCTCACCCCGTTGTCAAGTATAACCTTCAAGAGTCCCTTTCAGAAGTTGGGGCTTTGAGATTCGTCACACTACCGCCATCGTTCATTATACAGCATCACCATCACATTCTGGATCGCTGTCTCCCTCTGCACATGAAATCCACCACAGTAATGGACCGCACCTATGCCTGCAGAAGGGTTTTCTACCTATGCACACAATGCCGCACAGCGCAGTTCTTCGAGGACTTGCCTTGTCTCATTGCCCTGTACGAGGGATTAACCAAACCTCGAGTTGGTGTCATATTTTGCCCTTAAGAATATAAAGTGATGACGTGTTGTCGAATACCCCCCACCCCCCCAGCCCAACCCATATTGAAACTTGAAATATATCACGTCACACCAAATGATTGCTTGTTTCTTCTATTCTAGACTGATTTATAGAGACCTCAGCTCGCGGTCAAGCCGCCAGGTGTCACGGGTGGGCGCAACTAACCACTGCGTAACACCCTCAAAAGAGGGACCGTGGTTCGAACTGTCCAGTCGAACCAGGAGTTGCGCACATGAATTTCACACTGTCACGACCCGTGACACCAGGCGGCTTCTTGTCTGTATGCCGAACTGCCGGCACCGTGACAAAACCAGTGATCACCAGCATGTAGTGGCGCTTACAGCTATCTGCATTCAGTTGGCGGATCATGGTCGCCGTGGTTAGGTACCTTAGTCTTGTGAGACAGCGTTATACACATATTGCCGATGAACATATAGCAACCTTTCCAGTCTCACCAATCTACAGCCCTCGGTTCCGAGCGGTTACCACAGCCCTGATTCATTAAGGCTGCGAGACATAAAGATGATCGAACCCCTCGAGTTGCGCAGGCGTGTCCAACTCGTAGACTCGTTCCAAGGGGTCCAGTAGCACTGCGGTTTTGGTCAGTTTTGCTCTTTCTACCTGGAAAACATGGACAGCATTCGACGAGAGGCATTTGAAATGCTTAATTTAGCCACCGTACATTCCGCATACACGTGCCGCCGAGACTGGTGTTCAGAAACCCAAAGCCATTCCTGGGAAGTTGCCTTCGTCGTTCACTTACCTGTACGCCCGCCTTTACCAGTCCTGTGCTAAGGTTGAAGGCTCGCTATCGCAAACTACAACTCAAAACGAACTGGGCAGTGTTCCTACCACACAGGACCTCGAGATGGGTGAGCCGCCTGTCGCTTCCCTGCGGATGGTTGTCGTGCCTCGTCAGAGGGAAAAACGGCAGATCCTGTACGTGGACCGCGCCGTCTTTTTTGGGCTTGTTCGGCAGCCTTGTGCTGGATGACTACGCACTCTACCTGTATCTCACCGATACCCCGGGGCTTCATTTCCTTGGTCTCAAGACGTCCAAGTCGCAAGACGGAAGCTCGGAAGCGCTAGGCTTTTTCCTCAACACCACCGACTATACCTTCATTTGGTCATACACGCTATAGAGGCGGGCGGTCAACGTGGTTTTGTTGGGTGACGTGGACGCACCGTGGGACGACTAACCGGCTGGTCGAAGCCATGAGGGTGAAGCAGCCCATCATTTTCAGCCCGCTGTACTTGGCCTTCGTCGCTTGTTTCCAGGGGTTCCTCGGTATCTAGGACTGCGATTGGGGCTACAAGCCAAAGGCAAAAGCGGTACATGTCAAGACGATGGAGTTGGACATCGACTCAAGAGAGGGCTTGACACAATTCTCCGAGGCATGTCTCTGGCTCGGTAAGAGTCTCACCTTCAGCGAGAAAAGCCTAAGGAGGCTGCGTAAACTGCACGACATTGCCAAGCAACTGGACCACACACGAGGGAGCTCCTCTCTGTGGGACGAGATCTGGGGTTTCGCCGGTGCCAACGACGACATGCTGCAACGTTCGACGAGCGGAATCCAAGCAGCGGTGTTGTCGCTCCAGGACCAGCTAGCCAGCCGCGTTGCCTACTTCGAGTGGGAGATGCGATGGGCAGCCGTAAATCTACGACTCGTAAGTCAGCCAGGAGAGAGCCTTTACCCTGATCCACCGGCACTCATGACACTGACAGGTAACCGCCCGAATGCGACGAACCGAGCCGTGCCTTGCCAACCGGGACGGCAATACGATGGTGTCGATCGCCTACACCACCATGTTCTTCCTCCCAGCCACCTTTCTCGCTGCCGTGTTCGACATGGAAGCCGCAATGGACCTGATGAAGACCGACTTCGGCCTGTACAGGAAACCGGCGGTACCAGTGACGGCGCTGGTGCTCCTGTTCTGGGATGTAACAAGGGACAGGGTGATATCAGCGTAGCGTACTTGTTCAGACGAAGAAGAGGTGAGTCGAGGTTGATTTGACTAGAACTCGAGGGAGCTTTGTATTTTGACAGTGAGCAGACTGGCTGATTGGAGAGCGAAGAAGGGTCAAGAGCAGCAACAGATTTGCTGATTCATCGGGCTGCGAGGAAACATGGGACTCGTTCGTATTATATTCGGCCTGACATCATACCGTCTTATGATCTGATAGTGCTCCTTTCCTCAAAAGGCAAACCATCAGGTTGCTTCTCGACCGACAAGACTAGACCCGAGTTAGTCTTGGGTTACATCAGTCACACGGGGGTGCTTTCTTAACACTTTAGCCTATATTGCCATGACGGTTTATACTTCACTCAATTAGAGGAGACGCCCTCAAGGGACGTACGGTACTTGGTTCCATTACTCGATTTGAGAAGCCCCAAGCTTGGTTGTAGGAAACAGACAAGTCAAGCAGCTTGAAGTCCACCCTAAGGTGCCTTATTATCCCCGCTTGCCCCTGTTTTCTAGCCCCAACTCCAAGCACTTCCTGGTTCTTGAACCCAACATCGCCTACTGTGATCACTCCCTGTACCGGCAACCAAACAATGATCTCCTCAATTTCCCCTCTATTCTTCCGCCCCCTCCTCCTCCAGCTCCTTCTCCTAAGCACCACGGGCTCAACTCAAACCCACCCCCTTCCATCCGAGTCCCCCTCCCTCTCACCCGCCAAACTTCCAGTTGCCATTACATCCCGCCAGCCAACCCCCAACCCCCTCGACTTCCTCAACCTCCGCGCCAGCCAAGTCTACGCCTCGCCGGACCGAGTCCCGCAGGAGGAAGCGTGTGGGGCGGGCATGGTGTATGGCATGCTCGGCTTCCCACACGCACGTTTCACGGCCGATGGCCATGATTCCGGACTGGTCGGGGAGCTTCAAGTTGAGTGTTTTCAGGGATTGGTGTTTGAGGGCCTGCCCGTTGGATATGCATTTAGTGTGTTGGCGGTTGAGGTGGAGGGCATGTTGCAGGTGGAACGAGGGGCGTGGTTGGATCGGGTGGAGGTTGAGGTTGAGTATTTTGGGGGGGAGGTGAGTTTTTTGTTCTGTCATTTTTTTCTTATTTGTCTTCTTCTTGGGGAGTCGCTTTGGTTCTGGGTGGTTTAGAAGAGGTGGTGTGTGGTTGTGTTAAGGGGAATATAATCCAGGCTTGGTACTAGTACTTTAGGAGGAGGAAGAAGGATGTGAACATGAGTTGCTACGTGATGTATTTCCAGGTTATAGGAGCATCTGACATACAATAGGGCCCAGGACAGTCCAACACAACAGTGACAGATAAAGGGAGCGACCTGAAACTCAGACCCAGGTTTCAGGGCCCCTATTCAGGAGCGTTTAGTCTCCTTGTCAACGTCTTCTCTGAAGATGGTACGTCGCGGACGACCAGAGGCCGGACGACATGCCCGACCGAAGACTCGAAGCGTGAGATGGCTGTCAGGTTCCGGCTCTCGTCGATGCATGATCCGACCGACGTTGGCAATGGCATCAAGTACCGGGCCACAGTGTCTGATGTGAGGGTTGGGTTTCATGTGATGTGGGTGAGGTGTGAGAATTAGGGATAGGAGCTCGAAGGAGATTAACTTAAGGAATTTGGACGGGCGAGCCACGAGTTGGCATAGTTGTTTTGTGAGATTCAAAGAAAGTCTCTAATTTAGGTGTTTGGTTGGAAGACTATTAGGCCGGCTCTCAAGCGGATGTTGTTGCTCCTTAGCGGTGGCCTGATAAAGCTGATAATAAAAAATCAGACACCGGGATAGGAGTGTCTCTCAAGTCATCTAACCCAGAACTTATCCCTGGATTGTCATTGTCGGCGATGACCAGTACCTCCGTTAACATTGCACAACTTGAATAGTCCTAGGGTGCCGACATGCCCATCGACTGCTCTCGCCAAGCGGCGGCTGGAAGCATGGGAATGCAGTGTTTCGGGATTGACGGGCTAGCGTCCTCAGCCATTGGGCGCCAAACAAGCCAAACCGCCATCACCCGCCATCTTGTTCTGTGAGGAGCCACTAGCAAGCTGAGCCACGGTGTCTGCCGAGACGGAGGTGGAATGAAGAGTCATGGGGCTGAGTTCTCGCCCGTGGCTGTCTAGGCACTTTCCGACCAGCTCAAGACGACGACGCCGCTTCGAGATTGGGTTTTGCCGGTTCCCGGAACAACTCTCATCAGACTCGCCATACTTCTATTCTCATGGCGGCTTTCTAAGCATCCAGACTTGCAGGTCCGGAAACCCCGTTTTTAGGTCCGTGTACGCTACGGTTTCGACGATATGATGATAAAGACAGTCCTTTGGGCCCTTCTGCTGGCTTGCACGCACAACATCGGCGTTCTCGCGGCCGTCACGTTCACCAACACCGAGTACTACATCTACGCGGGCTCGCCCTTCACAGTAACATGGACGGGCAACCGTGCGCCCATCACCCTCACGCTCATGAACGGGCCAGACGAAAACCTCCAGACGGTCCTGACTATCGTCTCGGACTACAGCGGCCAAGACTACACCTGGACGCCGCCCGCCGAGCTGCCCGCGGACTCGTACATTCTGCGGCTCGAGGATGGCGGGAGCACCGACTACTCGGCCCGCTTCCGATACCCGTCCCCGCCGTTGAGCAGTGGCACCACGACTATCAGAGGAGTACGCAGCAGCAACTCTTGTCCTCTTCCTGTCAAGTTACTCTACTAATCCCTCCCTCCAGTCTACTACAACAACGCCGCCCTCCTCAGCCTTCCCCTCCGTAACCACGTCCCCCGCCCCAGCCCCCTCAGATCCCTCCTCCTCCCCCTCCGAAATTTTCTCCACCCCAGCCAAAGCCATCATCGCCGCGCTAGGCAGCCTCCTCCTCCTCGCCCTCATCGCCCTCCTCACCTACTGCGTGGCCTATCGCCGACAGAAACAACGCCGAGACCGAGAAAAGAAGGCGGCCGAGGCGGCTTCGTTTGGCGGCGGCTCATTGGTAGACGCCGATGGTCATGAACTAATGCCGGCGCCGCTGCTCACCAGCCGTAGCGCGGGACTTGAGTGTGGCGATCTAGGCGGGTATTCCAGTTACCATCATGACGCACTGGCGATGAGTCCGGATACTGTTATTGGTAGTAGTCAGATGGTGCATATGAAGGTTGATGGTGCAGCTGCCGTGTATCCTCTTCAGGGTCAGGGTCAGCTGGGCGGGAACTATGGGAGGGTGCCGGCGGAGCTTGGGGGGAGGGATATGATTGAGTTGAGTGCCGAGGGGGAGTATCTGAAGTGATTTTCTTTTTATGGTTTTGGGATGATGATGATGAATGAGATCGCGGCTTACGGGTCACTGCTAGGGGGTCACTGATTAGGTCGTCACTGACCACGGGGTCGCTGTTCAAGCGGTGGGTTGGTTGGGCAGATGCGGGTCATCTGACGTTTCTGTACTTGTAGAGACATAATCCGAAGGAGGGACGATATATTGATTAATATGAGCTGACTCAGAATGAAGGAACAATGGCTGGCCAGCTGGTCTAAGTACAGATTGTGGTGGAGAGCCGGGGCAACATTTGAAACTTGGAACGATGTCAGATCTCTTTTGGCTGTCCTTCCACCCTCATCTCGACGAGCTGCTGCGTTTAAGCCCGGCAGTTGGCGTTCGGCACCCAAATAGCACCGTCACAGCCCTTGTCGCAGTGGTGGTTCCACACAATGACGCCACCCTCGCGGCAGTTGTAGATGGAGTCATAGACGATGGTGCCGTTAGTAGGGTCCTGGCCCGCAGCAGACGTGGCTTCCTGAAGACTAGCAGGGTCATAGCCTGGTGATATGGTGATATTTGTCAGAACGAAAGATGTCCTCGCTTAGCAGACGGGGATGAGAAGCTTGTAGAAGCGTACCAAAGTCGCTGTTGAGCAAAGTCCAGCCGCAAACGTCGTAGGGACTGACGCAAGGCCTCTTGAAGGCGGCTTGAGCACCGGTGATAGTGGCGGCGAGGGCCACGGCGATGGATGAGAACTTGACCATGGTGAACCTAGGCTGTTGTGTTTGCTGACGAAAGAAGAGTTGAGCGTGAGAATGTGTTGTTGTGCGAAGATGGACGAGGACAACAGAGGGCTGGCACCGGTATTTATAGATCACAGGAAGCACCAGAGAGGTTCCTGCTTTCCAGGTTCCTGTTTTCAAGCCTGGACTTGCAGAGTGTCACCGTCATCCGCTCATGGACAAGAACATTGGCCATCTTACACCGGGCATGTCAGCTGTCCTTGCATGGACTTCAGCTCCTCCGCCTCGCTTCCGTCGTCAGGCACTGCCGAAAGACGATATGTGATAGTAGGGCAGATGGGGAGGGAGACGGCCCGTCTAGCCGTAATCCTGTGAATCCTGATCTCCTTTCAGGGCCCTAGACGCGGTGAATCCGCCTGCGTGTTGGGTGCTGTTCATCAAGCGGTCAGTCATCCAGCCGCATCCCGGTTGACTCGGTGTGCGGGGGGAAAAGTCCCATCGTTACTGGATGCTGTGTGCTCTGGAGAACGTGGTCACACAACGGAGTCGGACCGAGAAACGACCCGACTTCTCAAATTTGAGAGATGCATGTACACATAGGCCGTTAGGGATTAGAGGGTGTGTATCTACAGTAGGGGTCACGTCAGGGGTTGTCTCGAGCCGCCAACCATCTATCGATGTCGTGGAATCCTCCTCGCAAACACACATATGCAGCCAGCTGACTGGGCAAAAGGCAACCTCTGACTTGACGTGAGTAACTATTTGGAGTGAATCACACCTTACGATTCCAGTCGGTCAAAGGATTGTTATGGCATTGACCAGCCCTGACTCTGCAAGTTGGCTTTAGCCTTTTAGCCCCAACAGTGTCTGTCGCTGCTGAGTCTAGTCAGAGAAGAAGTGTTAAATTACAGAGGCACAGGGCACCATTTTCATGATGATGACTCCAGGTTTGCGGGCTTCCCGTCCGGCTGCTCATATACACTGTCCGAATACAATATAATCAAGGCAGGGCTGGACGGAGGAATCTGGTGTGGCCTCCACCACGTTCTTGACAGGGAGGTGTGTTGATATCCGCGAGGATAATTTGACATTTAGTTCCCAACAGTGCATTTTGGCTCGGACTGCTGCGTACTTCCCACGTGGAGAATTATACGAAAAGAGTTCCGAGCCACCCTGCAGGGGCGCTGACACTTGCGGATGCGACCACGGCCCGATAACCTGGCTGGATCTCCGGCTTCCGCGGTACCGAACTGCGGCCCTTGCCGGAGAGCCAATCGCGGGCCTCCCGGCGGCTGACAGCAAGAGACCACGGACATGTAAGCTGAGCATGCTGCGGCCGGTGTGCTCAGCAGCGAGGAGCCGCCACTCCTTGACCAACGATAAAGGAAACAAGCAACACGAGGTCGAGAAAGGAGTCGGATAGATCGGAGACATGGAATCTCTGCCTGACGGGGTGGCGATGCTCCTCTTGATGTTGGCGGGCATGCCGGTCCAACTTGCTTATCAGGTAGCATTGCTCGCTAAGCTGTCAGTTGTCTTCAAACATGATTCCGCTTCATGCCTCTTCAAGGCCTCCGTTTGACCAATCCAACGGTCATCCCAGTCACAGCCTAAACCTCGACCGCCACTTACCTCCCCCCAAGTTTCTAGGTCACAAAATCACAACAGCCGTGGTCCTACCAATGCACATTCAACTCAACGTGCAAACAACTGCCTTCTAACGATGCCTTTTGAGCATCCACAGCGTCTCTGTCAACATAGTACCACTCCTCCAAATCCTGCTCAATGGGTGCCGGAGACAAGACCTCATCTGGCGGCAAGTGCACCTTGTCCGGATCAAGGTTGCCCGGCGTGTCCTTTAGCGTGGTGTTGTCCCTGCATTCGTCAGACGTCAGCCATCGCGTCTTGAGTATCTAAAAGGGAACACGTACAGCGAGATATCCCCTCGCTCCACCTTTCCCGTGATCAACCTCTTCCACGCATCCTCACATTCCCCAATGACCTTTTTCGCATGCCTGCAATCCCGTCAGCATATCAGTCCCACCCCACACCCTTACAAGTCCAGAACAACCCGAATCAGCCGAACAGAGGGAAGAAACAAACAAGGAAAGCACAGACACTCACCCCCTATCTAACCACCGCCCCCCAAACCCAAACCCATTCCCGCGCTGCCCATCCGGCACCCGGTACACCCTCCACCAGTCGATACTCGCGCCAAGCATGCCAGGTAAGTGCTCCTCGACATCCGCAATGTCACTCAGCCTCTCCGCCAGCGGGTCCCGCACGTCGATGACGAGCACCTTCCAGTCGGTCTCGCCCTGGTCAAGCAGCGCCAGGATGCCAAGAACCTTGACCTGCTTGACATCGCCCGGGCAGGCCACGGCGCGGCCTATCTCGCAGGCGTCGAGCGGGTCGTTGTCGCCATTGGTGTGCGTCTCGGGGGTTGTGTGGTGCGGGTCTTCCCAGGTCTTTTTATTATTATTTTTTCATGTATTAGTCAAATATGTGCTCAGTTTGATGCTGTAGATTGGGTGTGCACGTGGGGATGGGATAGGCTGGGTGGGAAGTAGATTGAAGACGGGGGCACACGGGTAGCATGACATAGAAGGTCATGAAGCACAGACCTGGGGCAGGGCACCGTAGTTCCAGATGTAGCCCTTGTAGGGGAAGAAGTTCTTGACGAAGCGGGGCTTCTTGTCGAGGTTGTCTTGGTGAATTGGGTTGAGGCTTTCGTTTCGGGATATCTGCAGTGAGCAGTCCCAGTTAGTCATCATTCCATCCAGTGTAAGTGAAGTGTATGAATTATGAAAAGAACCTGCTATTGTACCTCGAACTTGGCGTTTGTCCACCGCGGCACCTCCACCACCATGTTCAGGATGCCCTTGTCCTTGTCATTGTAGAGCGGGATGTCGTGGAAGGGAGACACAGGCACTTTGTCGAGAGACCGCTCGAAGAAGATGCGATAGTCCTTGGTATAAGGACGGCCCGATCTCCTTACAGAGTATTCACTCTTGTTGGGTTTGTCGTATGACAGCTCCATCTCCAAAGTGGTTTTGTCCATGTGGTTGATGAGGTGGAGAGCCTCTCAGAATGCGCTCGCTGTAAGTTGATAAGATGCGTGTGGTTCGAAGTTGGGGAGCAAGGTGACGTCACTTACTGTACGTTTGTTTGGTAGTTAATGGAAATTGGTCAATACTGCCTGCTTTCACTTCCTCGGCCAAATGGCGCCTAACATTACGGTCTAATTCATTGTCCATGTTAGACCTTTATAGCTGTTGTCTAGAACCTAGGCCGCAAATTTGGGCGCACGTTCTCTTGTTAGAGCTGGTCAAACCTTGTAATTTATGATGGTATCGATGTACTCGTCTTTTTCGTACGCAGAGGGAAATGGAATGAATGGCCTTAAGTAAACTAACTGCCAGGCGACCGTGGAAGTGAAATCGATCTACCGCAGGACGGTAACGGGTAAGCGTGAAGCTCTCCATTGCTGGACTGCCATATCTTAACTTCTTCAGTGTTCCGTCATCCAGAGACTACAGTCCAGAATCTGGAGACGGTTGAATTCACGACAAGTGCAGGCAAGACTGAGTGGGTCAGCAAAGTGGGCAAGCCCGGAGAAAAGCTCTTGCTGTTCCCGTTGCGCTAGATCTGAAGCGGACTAGCCTCTGCCAGCCGACCCTTGTCTCTTGAAGCTCCGATCGCCTCGCAATTGCAGACTCGGCCTGCCATAAAAAGCTGCCTTCTCTCTTTGTCTAGCTGTCTCCCACGCCTGCCCGACCTTTTCCCCGACATCTCCATCAACTCGCGCTTCGCCTCCATTGTCGCCACTGACCTGCCGCTTTGGCTCCTCGATACTCGTTGCATTGAAGTCCCCGCGGCCGAAATGGCGTCAAGCGCCCCCTTCCAGTTCGCGGGCGATTCCGAATCCGAAGACGACAGTTTCAACCCTGCGCCTGCCGACCTCTCTGACGACGAGAACGATGCCACTACCGACCGCGCCACGGCCAAGAGCGACCGCCGTGCAAGCAGTCCGACGGCCGACAATGAGCTCAACGATGATGACGAGGATGATGAGCGCCCCTCCAAGAGCGCGTCAAAACCGTCTCGCGATGATGAGGAAGAGGAGGAGAACGCCGACGAGGAAGAAGAAGATGGAGATGATGGCAAAAACGGTGATGACGAGGAGGATGAAGAGGAGGAAGAGGAGGAGGACGAGGACGAGGACGACGAAGATGTCCATGTGAGTTCAAACGTTCGCTCGCGTTGGCATTTCCATATCCATGAACCGGATTTGGTTGCTCTGCGCGTTCATTGCTGGCTGGCCGAGACTGACAACCAGCACAGCGCCACCGTCGCAAACGGCGCAAGGACCACCGCGCTGCTTTCTTCGATATTGAAGCCGAAGTTGAAGACGAGGACGAGGCCGAGGATGAAGAGAAAGACGGCGAGGAAATTGAGGACTTCATTGACAACGCCCATCCCGATGACATTGCTGAGAGCGGCCACCTCGACGATGATAGGAGACATCGCGAGCTCGACCGCCGCCGCGAGCTTGAGGCCAGCATGGATGCCGAGAAGCAAGCCGAGATCCTGCGCGCTCGCTACGGCAAACGCGCCCCTGCCAGGGGCTACGGCGAGATGGCTGTGGTGCCGAAGCGCTTACTCCTCCCCAGCGTCGACGACCCCGGCATCTGGGCAGTCAGGTGTAAGGAAGGCAAAGAGCGTGACGTCGTCTTCTCCATCATGCGGCGCATCGAGGAGCGGGCCGGTACCAAAGACGAAGTTCCCATCACCGCAGCGTTCGAACGGGGCGGGCCAAACTCGGTCATGAAGGGATACATCTACGTCGAGGCTCGCCGGCAGAACGACATCATGATTGCGCTGGACGGCGTCCTTGACGTGTATCCCCGGACCAAGATGATTCTCGTCGAGCTCAAGGACATGCCAGATCTCTTGCGGGTTACCAAGACACCAAACCTCGAACCTGGCGCCTGGGTGCGGCTGAAGAAGCCAGCCAAGCACGCCGGCGATCTCGCCCAGGTGCTCGACGTGACCGAGAACGGCTTGGAAGCCCGGGTGCGCTTTATTCCCCGACTAGACTACGGCGTCCGGGACGAAACGTCGACGGCCGCCGCAGCTGGAAAGCGGAAGCGGCCCGGTATGCCTGGCCCACGTCCTCCCCAGCGCCTCTTCAGCGAAGTCGAGGCCAGGAAGCGAAACCCGCGTCAACTTCAGGGCAACCCACAGACGAACACCTGGACCTACATGGGTGAAGACTTTGAGAACGGTTTTCAGGTCAAGGATATCAAGATCCAGCAGTTGGAGGTCAAGAATGTCAACCCGACCCTGGAAGAGGTTACCAAGTTCGCCAGCGGCTCGGAGGACGGCACGGAGAACCTCGACCTCAAAGCTCTCGCCGCCAGTCTGAAGGACGGGAGCACCAACGTCACCTACGTTCCCGGCGACGTTATCGAGGTGTATCAGGGTGAGCAGCGGGGTGTTGTTGGCAAGGCCATCAATGTGCAGAATGACATTGTCACGCTCCGGGTGACCGAAGGCGAGTTGGCCGGGCAGACAATCGAGGTTCCCAACAAAGGGCTTCGTAAGCGGTTCAAGGCCGGCGACCACGTCAAAGTCATTGGCGGCAGCCGTTTCCGCGACGAAGTCGGTATGGTGGTCAAGATTGTCGACGACCGCATAACTCTCTTGACGGACCAGACAAACACGGAAATCACCGTCTTCAGCAAGGACCTGCGCGAGGCGAGCGACATCGGTGGCCAGGGGTCTCTTGGCCAGTACTCCCTGCTTGACCTGGTTCAGCTCGACCCTACCACAGTCGGTTGCATCGTCAAAGTGGACCGCGAGTCGATGGTTGTCTTAGATCAGAACGGCGATACCCGGCAGGTGATGCCTTCGCAGATTGCTAACAAGCTGCCGAAGCGGAAAACCGCCGTAGCCGCTGACCGAAACGGTTCCGAGATTCGGCTCGACGATGTCGTCCGTGAGTATGGCGGGCAGCAGCGTCAGGGCAAGATCATCCACATTCACCGGTCGTTCATCTTTTTACACAGCCATGCCACCACCGAGAACGCCGGCGTGTTTGTCACTAGGGCCGGCAACGTCACCACGATCGCGGCAAAGGGCGGCCGCTCCACCAACCCAAACTCGGGCCCCGACTTGAGCACGATGAACCCGGCCCTCAAACGGAATCCGGCGGCCAATAACAATGCCATGCAGCCGCCAAAGACCTTCGGCCGGGATCGTGCTCTCGGCCAGACCATCAGCATCCGGAAAGGTGGCTATAAGGGCCTCATGGGCATCGTCAAGGACACTACCGACACCCATGCGCGTGTTGAGCTCCACGGCAAGAACAAGATCGTCACCGTTCCCAAGGCGGATCTCATCTTCAAGGACAAGGTTACGGGCAAGACGATTGATATTTACAGCCGCTCTGGTCGGGGCGGCTTTGGCGCACCCGGCAGTGGTGGATACGGCGATCGACCTGGAAGCAGAACGCCCATGGGTGCAAATGGGGGGGAAAGGACTCCGGCATGGGGAGCACCAAAGTGTAAGTCCGGTTGTATCCGAGAGTGTGGCAGACGTTTGTTGCTGACCATGATACGCAGCAATCGCCCGCACACCTGCCTGGGGCCGGGGCGAGACATCCGGCTCGCGCACTCCCGCCTGGGGCGACGGCTCTCGCACGGTCAACCCCTACGACGGCAGCCGAACAGCCTACGGAGACGGCAATCGCACCGCCTACGGAGGCGCCACGTCGTACGGCGGCGGATCCCGCACGCCGGCCTGGTCATCCAGCGCAAAGACGCCCGCCCACGACGGCTTCGGCCACGGCTCCAAAACCCCTGCCTACGGCGCCGGCGCCGGCAGCATCGGCAGCACCGACCCCTGGGGCTCCAAGACCCCCGCCTACGGCGCCTCGGCCCCCACCCCCGGCGCGAGCGGCCCGTCCGACAGCTGGGGCTACACGCCCGGTCCGAGCGGCGGCGGCTCCTCCTCGTCCCATCATCATCCGTATGATGCGCCTACGCCTGGCGGTGCCGGGTTTGGCGCGCCCACGCCCGCCCCGCTCAATGCCCCGACGCCCGGCGGCGCGTACTCTGCGCCGACCCCGGCGGCCATCAGCGCTCCCACGCCCGGCGCCTGGCAGGGCGGCTGGGGTTCGGCTGCGGATGCTGCGCCCACGCCGGCGGTGGGGGCGCCGACGCCCGGCGCGAGTGGTGGTGGGTACTATGGCGCGCCGACACCGGCCGCGTATGGTGGTGCGCCTGAGACGCCTGCTGCGAGTGGGGAGATTCGGTATGCTGATGATGATTGATCTGGTCTGGTCTGTCTTTGAGGTGGGTAAATGGAGATTGGGCTGAGAAATAGTGGAATGTTGTTTGGCGTTTCTGGTGGAAAGAGGAAGGGTTTGGGGTTTATCAGCGCATTGATCGTCCTGTGCCCGTTTTTACCTTGCTTCAGGCGGGGTGCAGTCAGTTTGGGACAAATAGACATCTCTCTTGTGCTCAGTTATGGTCACATTGGCATTGTGCATTTGGCCTGCTTGGCTCTGCGCCGGGGGTGTTGAGGTACCTTTCTCAGGCAAAAGTTTAGTGATGGGCAGAGGGCAATTCATTAGGACGGTTCGCGGCTGGGTGACACGGCTTGGTCTTCAACCATGTGTATTCTCGGATATCGAGGCAGTCTGGCATGGCCCGTACAGACCTCGTTGGATACTTGTCTCTCAGTGATGACTTGCACTGGGGAGCCTCGCTCTAAGGCTGCGAGCAGCCCAACTGCTACGATTTTCCACAAAATCAACTCTCACCGGCACTGCCAGGCGATAAGCCGGAATCCACACTTGGTCTCTCTGCCTGTATGCCTCTCGAGTCTTGTTATGCTCCTCAGTTGTTCTTCAACTTTACTCAGCGCAATGTGCTATCACATCACATCGCATATGGCGGTTTCCCGTCCCTAAATTACCTCTCTGGTTGTGTTATCCTCAACTGACAACCCTAGGTGAAGACTCAAGCGGAATCACCCTCTTTTTCATTCCACCTTCTAACTTTCCTGAACACAGTGCCTTGTCTCTTGGAGGTTATTTATCCTTGGGCTCAACCTTCTCACGCACCTAATGCTAAGAACTCAGCAGTCCACCCAGAGACTTACCGCGTAAGAACGCAAGGCAAAAAAAAAAAAAAAAGGCAAAGCCGTGAATCCATTCCGAGGGATACACGCTACCAAGCACAGCATGTCAAGCGTCCTTGACTTGCTGGCGTCCTCGCTGATCTGAAAATTGGGGCAGATGTGCCCCTTCAGCTTGGCCCACTCGATTTGGTCAGGGTCTGGTAGAGGGGATGGGCGCAGCCGCAGGTGCTGAAGTGGGTGTACCCTGCAGTGCACTGTCTCTCTTTCTCTCTCTCTCTCTTTTGCTTTTTATTTTTCTTTTTTATTTTTCTTTTTGCGCTGCTGATCGGGAGCTTGGGGGGAGACTTGAATGACGGCGGCGGATGTGAGAGGGACTGACTACTTTACTCGGTTTCCCGCGTTCCAAAACCTACAGTGCGGCCGACGATGGTGAGTGGTGTGGGATGGCTAGGGATGCCTACCCGGTCCGCTGTGCCTTTCCTGTAGGGGGAGGAAGCGAAACCAAGGGAAGCGGGATCGGTGTGAGTAGTTCGCTGTCCCGGTGATGGACGGATTGGCAGTGGTTTGGATAGGGGGAAGATGGGGAGCGGTACGGGAGGTTGGGATTTATATGTCAGTGAAGGGCTCTGCCTATCATCACCACTTTTCATTGTGGTTTTGTTAACTACGAGGCCAAGCGCTTTCTTTGTCGCTGGAGACTACGATGGACGTTCTTTGGTCACAAAGCCTTTGTAAGGTCGACCCGGCCTCGCCTCATGCGGTTCCGACCGAGCGTTTACACAGCCGGCCCACTGTTCGGAATGCGGTCCATTTGCTCATATTTGCGGCATTGACGCCCTGGAGAAGCTATCAGCACTAAGATAATGCATGCCAAGCATCATGCTATGTACATCCCTCCACTCATACCCTATACATTTCCAAATAAGTTTGGTCCCTTCCTGTGCCTTTCAGTCGGTTAACATGTCTCCGCCGGCGGGCCAACCGGGGTGTAGCTGGTGGGCACGGGGTAGTAGATGTTGATCATGATGCCCGGGTCCGTCGCCTTGTACGCGCCCGGGAACGAGACCTTGTTCCGGGGGCTCCAGGTGCCGCTGCCGCCGTTGACAGTGAGCTGGGCGCACGAGATGTAGAACTGGGCGCCGCCGGGGGAGCTGGCGCTGTGCAGGGCAATATGCTCAGCGCGCAGGAGGTAGTCGCCGTTCTGCAGACAGCGGGGAATGGTGACGGACACGGATCGGGCGCCTATTATTATTTTTCAAATTAGCATGTCATGTCAGGGGATGTATGTCCAATGTATGTGTGCGGCTAGGAAAAGGAGACTGGACCAGAAAAGAGAGGGCTTACCGTTTGTGGGCCAAGTCATGCTGCCTCCGAGCCTGGGCATGTCCTGGTAGATCTTGGACCACACCGAGCCCTTGCCGTCCCAGGTGGCCGCCGTCTGGCCTGCCGGGACCTTGGCGATGTAGAAGGCCATGGGGCCCGGATGGGAGATGGATGCCTTCGCATTGTAGGCGATGCTCTGCCCGGCCGTGACGTTGAAGATGCCCGGCGCGCCCGCGCCGGGGTTGCGCTCGTAGCATCGGATCTGGTCCGAGTTGACGTCCGTCACGGGACCGTTGCTCTGGAAGTTGGTCGTGGTCCGGACATATTGCCAGTCGGCCGTGTTGCCAATGCTGGGGAAGGTGTCTGCTGTGGTCAGCTGAGACGTCGGAATGGAAGGACGAGAGGAGAGATGTCCTTGAGGTTTGTTGAGACGTACAGTGCGCTTCGGCCACAGCCAATGCGAGCACGGCAATAGCAACACTCAGCTTCATCTTTTCTAGGTAGTTGAGACGCCGAAGTTACTCAGGGGAAACCGAGGGAGAGGATGAACTGCAAAGGACTTCGCCAGAGGGGACCCTCACGATGATCCCCAGATGGCGATCAATATATACCGCATCCCGTCACTCGTTCTCGGCGTTTACCTCCAGAACAAGCATGAATCTGTCCGTGAACGGCTCACTACGGCGTCGTCATGCCAAGAAACTGCTGCCGCCCAACCGGTCCAGCGGGTAAAAGGGGGCGGCGGGTAAATGCACCCCAGAGACAAAGAACCAGTTGGGTTCGGCCTGTATATTGCATTTGGCCTTCAGTCAATACCGGCCAAGATGAAGTAGGGTAGAGTCCAGTTGCACCTGATCTGGGGTAAACGAGGCCATGCCATTTTCAACTGGGCTTCCTGGCGTGCAGCCCCGAGACGGCTCGTTTGGCAGAGCGGAGCGTATAATGGCGGATTCAGGGGTCACAGCAATGCATACAGACATAGGGAAAGTGGTACCTCGGGTCGGATTGTAGTCAGATCGAGCCGCAAGAGGAAGGACTACTATCAATAAATTCGGCACGGGTCGTCGTGCGCCGTACGCACCCACACTCAGCGGGAGGCGGGAGGGCGTCCCGGGCAGACTGATATGCTGTACACTGATTTCCAAAGCCTGGTACTCCGTAAACGGCTCGGCATTTGCAGCGCTAAGGCAAGATGGGTTGGAAAGCGGAAAGGTTGCCAACTCAGGGATTGGCAGTTCGGAGGGTGCATGTGGAAAGAATCAAAGGGAACCTCATTAGGTTCGGACGTCGGGATAGGACAACAGCCACGCGCAGGTATTATTGGTGTTGACCCTGGGTTGCAACCGTTGACAGCGCTAACCGTAGTTGCTATATGTATCGTTAAATCTGAGTAACCGTGTGAGCGACAAGTGGCACCAAGGCGAGGCGCTGGTCACTACAAATGCCGACTGAATTCTGCTAATCGAAAGCTAAGGAAGAGAGGGAGAGTGTATACAGGATGCGCGTCTGCGACGCGAGAAAGGTAAGTGGACGCACAGTCCACCCACCGATGACCCACCGAAGAGAGCATAAGCCCAGGGTGCGCTTTCTGTCACAACCCGTTGAGTTGTGTCAACCATTGAGCATTGAGGGCTGCCAACCGTTAAAAACCCGGGTCCAGTCTGTGATTAGTCAAGTCAAAACGAGGTGCAGGGGTTTGATTGGTCAACTTTAACCTTTATTTCACTAGTGCGCCAACCCCCCCTGCACACTTATACCGGCGACTGAACAACTAACGTTATAGAGATAATGAATATAGTTAACGTACATTATAAGCGAACGGCGCATATAGGCGAGTGGCGCACTGATAAGGGCTAGTATGGAAACCTGGGCACAACACTAACAACTTATTCCCAGATTAAGCCCGCTGTTAGTGTTGTGCCCGAATTTCCATACTGGCCCTTATCAATGCGCCACTCGCCTATATGCGCCGCTCGCTTATAATGTACGTTAATGTGATTCACCATTACTCTGACACCCTATCAACTCGGATACATCTTTCGGATCATACCAATATAAGCTGCCACTTAGCCTTTGGCCGTGGGCCTCAGGCCAACTGCCGGCAACTAGAAGCGGCCTGGAAGACCTGTCTACAGTGGGCCGAGTCAAGAGGGATGGTCTTTGCTGGGGAAAGGAGTGAGCTGATCCACTTCAACAAAGGCCGAAGGCAATGGCCAAACCCAATCAATCTAGCCCACCCACAGGGCCAAGGTTTCGACGCTGTCACAGGTCGTGACAATGTGAGGTTTATGTGCGCAACTCCTGGTTCGACTTGACAGTTCGAACGACGGTCCCTCTTTTGAGGGTGTTACGCAGTGGTCAGTTGCGCCCACCCATGACAGACGCCATACAGCCTACACCTTCTAGCCTGTGACGGCGCCTGCCGTCGGAGTGCAGGTGGCGGCTGTTGAACTGAGTGGGTTCCTTGGCACCAAGATTCACGGACTGAGCACTGATGTTCAATGCGAGACTCTCAGTCAGCACAGATCCATCACAATGACACAGTTCCTGACACTGACATAACGTCATATCATGGCACACTGTCTCTATATAAGGGGGTAATTCCCCTGGGAGGATTAGAGAGGACAATTTTCTGTTCGAACAAGAAAGGGACATTCTGAGGCACCCCGAGGTGGCTCGTCCTATGGACGAAGAACTGGCTGACCGACCGGGAGGCCACCCTTCACTTCGACGGTCAAGCAGCTCGACCGACGGCAATACGAGCGGGGGGCCCCCAGGGATCTCCTCTATCCCCAGTCCTCTTCATTCTCTACATCGCCTCCTTGTACAAGCAGCTGAAAGAGGAACACCCCCATCTGGCGATAGCGGGGTTTGCGGACGATACCAACCTCTTGGTCTTTGGTCGGGAGCCGGAGGCTAACGTTCGACAGCTGGA